GAAACTCTTCCCTTTCCCCCTTTAAGGAATAAAATGGCAGACGTTCGGTATTAAATAATTTTATTAAACAAACGATTTGGCTTCGGACAATAACAAAAGCGGAAGACGATTTCCGGTTCTACAAAAGTCGGCCCTTGGGACCGCCGTTCTTCCTGTACAAAAGGCGACGCGCCGTCCGCCACGCGTCGCGCCAGAGGCGGCGGCGGACGGGAAATTTCTCCCGCTCCCCGCTTGCCGGGCGCCGAGGCCGTCGGGGAGCCGTCGCCCCACACGACGACCGAGGAAGACGGAGGGGGCCGCGGCGGACGGAAGCGGCCCGCCCCCGGAGCCGGAAACGGAAGACGAACCGCGATTAAAAAGTAGGAAAAGGAGGCCGACCGGGCCCTCCGGTCGACCCGTCGACCCACGCGTGACATAAATTAAAACGAAAAGGTTAAAAACGAGGATTATCAGATCTTTAGACGGGGACCGACCGAAACCCGGTTAGAACAGACGCAAATTAGCCAAAAGAAAAGGGTTAGAGTGGTTCTAAACTAGACGCCTGACGGTTGGGGCTCACTGCTTGCCTCCGTAAGTGGGATTCTTGAAGGTGGAGGTGGCCTGTTTGTAGATCGGATTCTCTCCCTGAAAAAGAAAGAGCGCACTCGTCATTGGGGAACCAGATACGTCCCGACCCAAAGAAGAGATAAACTCACCGTGTCCCACTTGGCCATTTGCCTCTCCTTCTCGAACTTGGCGAACTCCCTCCTGTCGTGGATGGTGGTCAGCAACTTCCAGATCAGCAGCAGGGCCAGACCCACGGCCACGATTCCTCCGATCACTCCCAGAACGATGGCCAGGATGTTGACAGGTTCCGGACAATCTGAAAGCAGTTCCTCTCTGTTTAATAGACCGGCGACGGCCGACCCCGTCCGGGGAAAGCGAAATCCTCACCTTTAGTTCTCTGCACGTGGATTTTGACGTAACCGTCCGAATCGATCCTGTAGGTGAAGAAGAACTTGCAGTCGTCGTCATCTCTGAAGGCACACAACTTGTCCCCTTCTTTCACTGCAAAGACCAAAGGTGGTGAGCGAGGAGCTGGAGGGAAATCGCGGTTGTCCGGATTGCGCTTACCTTCGATTTTCTCCACCGCCACCGGAGTGATGCTGCAGTTGAGGCACTCTTCTTCAGTCAGAGGTCCCGAATTGAAGAACTTGCACTGGACGCATTCTTTGAAAAGGTCGCACTTTCCTCGACAGGTCTGAAAATACGCCGCGGGTCAGAGCCGGCGACTTCTTTCACTTCTCTTTCTTACCTCCGAGTAATACTCACCGGACATTCTTCGCAAAACTGGCCGCTGTAGTGTTCCTCCTCTTCTTTGAAACACTTGCAGGCTCCGCACACGCACTCGCCGTTTCCGCTACACAATTTCTGCAAGAAGTTCTGTCCGTTAATTCCTCCGTTCGGGCCAGGCGCGTACTTCTCTATTCCTATACCTAATACTGTGTCTTTAGTGTTAAATGTATTGTTTCCTGATCTTCCGTTCCTCCTTTTTAACGGAGGCGTATTGGTACAAAAAGTCGTACATGTACATCCGAAGAAGACAATCGTTGGTCTTACTCCACTCTTTTTCGTCCCACGGGAAATAGCGCATTATTAATTAAAGAACAATATAAATTGGAGGACCAACTGCCTTACTGTCAGGAAACGCTACGTCGAAATAATGGCGGGTCGCGGGCACATTCCTCGTTGGATGGAAAGGAAAGGCGCGTAAACGTAAGTAGGATACTCACCCCGTTGGGAGCTATACACGTTTCGTTGTCATCCAGACAGTCGCAGGCGCTTCCCGTCCAATTGCCCAGGCATTTGCACTTTCCGCATTCGCAGATACCGTGATCGGGACCTGTAAATTAAAATAAATAATAAAATGCCGATTTTTTTTTTGCTCTCTATGCTAACGATGCATTCTATTATTTTTTAATTACTGGTATAACTACGTAACAACAAATCGTCGACGTTATTGGCGAACAGAGTCCGTTACACCAGTTTGTCGTGGACAATTGGTTGGAAGTTTTGAAATGCGGTTGTGTACAGAAAGTGGTGAGAAAAGAACTTACCGTTGCAGATCTTTCCGTCGCTTCTATCGCAAGTGAAGTTGTCGCATTCGCAGAATTTCCCTTCCACCTTTTCGTAATTCTGTAAAAACACGTGGTTTAAGACTTTTGTTGTAAGACTTGGGTGTGGTGTCTAAACGGGCATACCACAATGTGCGAAAATAAACTTACCGATCTCGGGAAACACTCGCAGATTCCGCACTGGCAGATTCCTCGTCCCGAACACAATCGATCTTCGTTCATACTAAAATATTATTGTAATCATATAATAATTAGTTATGTACAGACAAAAGTTTAATACTGAAATTAGCACTAGTCTGGAAATTTAGGCATATATTTGATCATCTTAATTTTTCTTTATATTAGAAATAAATTTACTTACTATCTGCAGGCGCTGTCGTTTTTGGACTGATTGATGTCTTTGGCATCGCATTCGCACTGTCTTCCGAATCTATTGCTGTAACAGCTGCAGATTCCGCACTCGAACGTTCCGTTGCCGTCGCTACACTTGCTGCTGAACGTTTCCTAATTTAAAAAAAAAAAAAAAAAAATTTACAACATATTAGATTTACAAAAAAAAGATTTACAACATATTAGATTTTAAATGCAAGCATTTGAAATCTAATATGTTGTAAATCACATTTATTCCTCTCCTCTTTGTTAGCATTATTTAATTCTTTCCACAGAATCAAACTTTTTATTTATTTATTTAATAAACTAGAAAATATAGATACAGTTATATTAATGATTGTTTTTATCTCTAAAATTATTGGACATTACTAAGTATTTAAAATATAATTGAAGATTCCTCAAGTAGAATTTATTATTATTGATGAAATTCAAACAAATTGCAATTCTCTCAGAATGGAATTATCAACATATAAGAACCAAATATTACAGTTTCTGATTACAGATTACTCTCTTTATTTTGCATACTTTTCAAGAATGGGTTTGGACGATGGAATTGTGCAAAATGAGGGAGATCTGCCGACGGGTGCCTCCCAGAAAGACTTTTTATGGTAAAATAAGATACTTATTTGTACATTAGACATGCGCAGAAAACCTGAAAAACTCCACACGGTAAGCCCGTCGGTTGGGTGCAAACTCGATACAGATTACGAGCATTTGGCAGTTTTATCCACTTGGTCACCGGTGGGCTGCCTCGCAGACAATGCTAGAGCCACTTTGCAGAATGCACAACTGCACGAGGCACAAAGAAAAAAGGGACCATAATCTGTAAACTTTTGTCTTCATGTTTACAATAACTGGCTATCATCAAAATTATAATGAGCATTTTTTCATAATAATATTTTCGGCAAATCTTTTAAATAATTACAATGTATGTAAAATCTATTATATAGTAGCTCACAAGATTTGAACGTGTAGTACCCGTAACTTCTATAAGATCAGACAGATCTAAAAAGTTTAAATAATATACAATGCTTGATTTTAGCACATCTTATTTTTTTATTGAAATGATTTATAATTTGGTTAGAACATTTGAAATTTTAGTTACACTATTTTAATTGTAACAAACTGTCCTGTCATATACTGTACTGGGTTTGTAACTATATTTTATTATGAATACTCCATAAATATAAATACAATATGATATATTTCATATTGTATTTCCTATTAGTAGAATAAGGCTAAATTAACCTTATTAGTAGAATAAAGTTCATTTAACCATATTCTACTAATAGTGTAGTATCAGCAGCAGCAGAGAAATAAAACCTAGATTCATGAATCGTTAAGCCATGTTAAAATTTAATGTCTAAAATTCTAATTCTTGTCTAGAAATTTAAATATTTTTGACATATTTTTATTAAAAGAATTACCTCATTTTCTGGCTTTTCACAATCACATTCACATATCATCTCAAGATGTACTATGAGTGCTTCGTTTAATCCCACTGGAGAAATCCTAAACGTCTGATTCCAGTCACGTCTATTTTTTGGACAAGAAGTGACTTCGATCTCCGCTTCAAACGTTACCTAAAATTTAAAATCAAAAATACTTTCAATAATTCCATTCCTAAAATGTTATATTTGACTAACCACAACTTTAAGCTATTATCCTACAAAAAGAAAACAATAAAAATGTTTTTCATAAGTTACATATGATAATACAATAAGAAAAAGAAATAGGTAAAGAATCGTAATGCAATTATAGTATATGTTTTTTCAAAGATTAATAATTTGTTATATAATCAATTACAAAAAGAATAAGAATTTAATTTCTTAAATCATTTTGAAATTGTATATAATAAAATACCTTGATTAATGCATGAGAATAATTTCATAAATATAACTATAGCCATGCGTACATACCCTGATATCCTAACTCCTTCTATACAAATTCTTCCTACAGCAAATGATACAGTTTAGTAACTATTGCAATATCATAACTGAAGAATCCCATTATTATAAATTTATTCATAAAGTGCTCTGCGAAGAATTTGAAAGTCACACAAATGAAAGTGGAAAGTAGGAAGCAACTCTGTTTCCAGTGTTCATTATCATTTGTTTTAGTGAAATTACACATGTTCTAATAAAGTTGTAATTTTTATTACCAAATTTCAGTACAATTGTACAAATTCATTCTTAATAATAGTTTATTACAGCATGTTCACTTCCCCATTTTCCTTCTGCTCTGTTGTTGTACAAACATGGTTACTTTTTGACATAATCACCGTGGAGATTGAAGCATTTGTAATATCTGTGGATGAGATTTGCAATCCCCTCTTCATAGAATGTGCCACTAGTGACTTGAGATGGGCCTTAACATTGTTTTGAAGATTGTCATTAGTCTCAAACTTCTGCTCTCCTAGCAACATTTTCAGTTCAGGAAACAGGTGAAAGTCGCTTGGTGATAAATCGGGGCTATACGCTGGGTGTTTAAAAAGTTCCAAGCAGGGTGGCCGTCTTCACACCTTTAATGTGTGAAGACTTCTACATCTTTCCTGAACTGAAAATGTGGCTGGGAGAGCAGATGTTCGAGACTAATGGCAATCTTCAAAACAATGTTAAGGCCCATCTCAAGTCACTGGCAGAAACATTCTATGAAGAGTTTTTAATATTATATTTAAATTCTTCCAGTTTATAGATTTACATTAAACGTAGCTTTATGAACATTACTTCTTTTCACTAAAATATTTTGTAATGAAAACAACGACAAAGTCCTACAAACTACACAATATATTCTATATATTAAGAATACTCAAACTCACAAAATAAATATAAAAGTAAGTATTTCAAGAATAACAGTACTTTTATTATCTAAATATATAAAATTGCTTGTCCTGACTGACTGAATGAATGAATCACTCACTGATTCATCATCGCCCAGAGCAGACCGCTTAACCTAGAGGTGAAATTTGGTAGACAGTTAGGGTACATCATGGAAACGCACACTAAGAAGGGATTTTTCGAAATTCCTCTGTGGGGGAGAGGGAGAGGATTAAAGCTTAACCGGAAAAACAGCTTCTATTGTACTTCTACTAGATGTGATTTTTTGTTTTTATCTGCGTTTTAGTAGGGTATGCCATGGCAATGCACACTAAGAAGGAATTTTTCGAAATTCCCCTGCGGGCAGGAGAGGGAGAGGATTTAGTCTTCATCGAGTACTTAGGTGTATTAAATTAATAACATTTCAGACATTGTTATAAATATTTTTATCTATTTCGATTTTAAAAATGTTCGAACCATTTTAAATTCGAATTTGTTATTGCACATTGGTTCGATTATAGAACGATTGTAAACGTTCATGAAAATGGANTAATATTCTATTATTCTTTAATTATTTTTAAAGTCTGCATTATTCTGTCTTTCAGTATACAGTATTATAATAATGAAATTTTGCTCCTTATTACTGTTTTCGTATCGCAAGTTCATCTAATTCGATTATTTGAAATGCGAATATTAAAGAACAAAATAATAAATCGTAAAAGAAACGCGTCATAGCCATTTAATTCGAATGACGATACAATAATTTAATAATGAAAATTACCGACACGAAAAAGGTTTTTATTTATTTTCTATTTTTATTACGTAAACGAAAATAGCGCTTACCTCAGATGTTAAACGGGACAAAGCAAAGGAAAGTAGAAAAATCACGAAAAATAAGGCTAAACATAAAGCCGAAATGAGGATTCTCAGAGACAAGTTTATGTCGATGAATGCCACCACGTAAATGAAAAAGCAATTGACGTACAGAGCCACGGCGTAGATCAGAGGAAAGACGTGTTCGCACACCTCGTTCACCTGTACCAAACAGTCCAAAATTTCCGTGTGCTTTTCTACGCAACTGTTTAAGAAGATCTCCAAACGACCGTGTTCAGCGTGGAAACTCTTCACCTCGGTTGACAGAGTTTTTAATCTTTCGAACATTATAAATCCAACGACGATACCTTGCAAGACAGTAAGGAAAATAACAGCGAAGGAATATATGAAACCAACATTCATTAAAATGATGTAAAATGCCGCTTCCTCGAGAGATTTCTTATCTCTTATGATTGGAAAACCGAATATATCAAATACTACACATATACGAGTAATAATCATGACAATAAACTAGAGAATAAGTGAAATTAATGAAAATGCTTCGAAGTATTTGTTTAAGGAGATTTCTTCTTCGTAAGCGCTTTTCTTGTATTCCAAGTACAGTTTTCTTCTTTTAAATATGCCGAAAAGAACAGAACAAGACAGATAAACAATTAAATATATCAATCTGATAAAAGTATTGTCGGTTCCATAAATGTATACCCACTCACTGCAGTTTACGCCTTCGAAAAAGGTTTCCACAAACTGTCGAATTGTTATAGTGTACAAGAAAAGTTGTACCGTATTTTCGTAACACCTGTAAGCTTTATCCAGGAAGAAACGAAATTTCCGTTTTCTTTCGTTCTTCTGGCAGTTGCAGCCCATAATTATATTTGTGGTGAAGACTTTGGCCGCTCGAAGAACAAAGTCGATCTGACAAACTGGACACCCGGCATTTACACCCGAATCCATTATCGACTGTAATTTAACCCAACTGTAATTAGGGAATAATTGATTTTAAAATTTTCAATTCGCAGGAATAAATTTTTTTTAAATTCTCACCAGGAGCTAATACTGATGTTTAAACACGGACATACGTTTGTTCGGACGGCAGAAGTACACGAATGAGAAATACTTTATAAGACAGAGCAGTAGAGAATTTCATCTAAGCGCAGCACTTAGAAAACTAATTACGTATTGATTCTGTTCGATCTGAAACAAGCGTTTTCATCGATATTACTACAAACATTGCCTGCTAATAACTCGGGAATTTAATTAAGTATGAAAATCGATTGCATCGTATATTAAAAACTATCTGATTTATATTCAGAATATTTTAAGCGGCGGAAGATTACCGAATTTAAATTTATATCGATTCGTCCGTCTTACAATGATTATGTATGTGTACTGTACTTCGTGGAAAGCTAATGTGCAAATATTTTACTGAATTAAAAGCTTTCCTTAGTATTAAAGGATGTCGAGCAGTAGCGTGCCGTCATTGGAAGCGGTGGATGCGCCGCTTCCCTTGTATTTTCTGAAAAATAAATACATATTAATTTTAATTATATGAAAATAATCGCACAATATTTTATTATAACCGCATTATGTATCTTATTACAAATTTCTATACTACACGTGAAAAAAANAGAAAATTGATCAAATTGAAAATAGTTTGATTCTCGGCAATTCTCATCATTCTCAGTGGTAGGTGTTATATAACAATTACTATGGTTGTTGAAATACTGAATATAAATGGGGTTTGCTTGCAAAATCTGTGCGAGCAAAGCCGCGAGTAACAGCTAGTTTAATATAAACAGAAATATTTCTCCAAGTCAAAATATGCAAATAAATTTCAGTCAATAAAGCTAGACAAATATGTGAAACAAATTAGTATAAAAAGAGAAAAAAAAAAAATTCAAATTCAGTTTCTGAAGAAAATATTAATGTGTGTTTCTTCATTATTTTTGTAAACTGTCAAAATTACAAACAGATAATGAAATTTAAAACTTAATTTTAAGAAGTTGTGTAAATTCTTAAAGCTAAAATCACAAAATATTTTTATCTAATTTAAAATTACCTCTCAATTGTCCTTGTTATTCGAAACTACCTTAAACTTTCATATCTATTTATATATTGGCAAAATAACAGTACGGTACTTGGTACCACCTTTCTTATTTATAGACATGTACAATTGGTGAACTTACTGTTTTGTAGAATTATTGCTGGCAGTAAATAATTTAATAACATTGTTGCCACCAAAAATTGTAAAATGTGACAATTTGATTAAGAGAACGATTCTTTACCCATACATTAGCTTCATTCATTGTTAAACTATCCTATTGTAATTTTATTTCTAAAAACATGCTTTTCTAAGTTTACATTACATTATTTTATATTACACTTATATAAAAAAAACTATTCATACATACACTTGTGCCAACTTTTAATCCTGTACACGAATTTGTCTTCTCTCTCTTTGTACTGTACATCAGAAAATAAGTTTATTAATAGTAGAAAGCAGTGAATAATAAAAAAATTAGTTTTTAAATTAAAAATAGTTACTTATGATAAAATAAAGACTGGCATTTTTTATTTGAGGAAGAACTGGACATGGACTGTCTTATTTTGAATATTTAAATGTTAAAAAAAGAAATTAAACTGTCTGACAGTTTTTCTTTGAATTTACTAGTTTACCCATGTAACAATTTTGGAATTTTGGTGCCCTGGTACATACCCCTCTGCCCCAGCCTTTCCAACCTGCAGGTTGCAACAAGGACAGGTAATCCTTGTAGCTGCAAACAAGGAGAGGCAATCTAAGAACAAAGTAATTGCCATCAAATGCTTTGTTCTTGTTGTTTGTTTGTTTTTCACACCTATTTTCTGTTAGGCATGGACGATGCTGTTTAATGACGCACTTGGAACCAATTACAATGTGGTAATGAAACAATGAAAAAAACAAACATTTTCGAACCCCTTCTGGGCTCTGCATCAGTTTCGTTACCACACTGTAATTAGTTCTGAGTGCATCATTATCATTAATCCAGTGTGGTGAGTAGTTATTTACAATGCTGCTTTTTATTTTTCTTCCCTAAATTCCATTAGGTGCACTCAATTGTATCAGGGAGCATGGGCATTGTCTTTGATATACAGTGAAGTCAAAGTGACAAAGTCATAGACCAATATTTTTAATTTAAATTGATCCTCATTACAATTAGAAAAAAAATGACAAAGTTTCATCAAAATTAGCCTATCAGATTTTGAGAATGGAGTCAATCTATAAGCCCATAGAAGACATGCTAGTAACCTTGAGTCATCACCTGAAAAGCACAATTCATGCAATAATACTTTGTCATGTGCACTTGTGCTACGACCCTGTATCTTGAAAATAAAGTCATGGCCCCCGATTTTTATATTTTTGGATTCCTCATTGCAATGAATAGAAAATGCCAAAGTTTTAACAAAACTGGTTGATCAAATTTTCAGATTGAACACAATATTGTAAGCCACATTGAAGAGGCTTCACTAATATGCCTCGGACAGAAATAGACAGTCATTACAAGAGATCAGTTCTATTATGTTGAATCCATTTTGTATTTTCTGATTCTATACATAATTATGTATTTAATTTAGAAAATTTAAAAATTTTCTTTGATAAAAAATTCCCTTTGAAATTATTTTGCATAGAATAAATATAAATGAATAAAACTTAATTTAATATTCCTAAATTATTATAAATTTTCAAACAAGTCTTCCCAGATATTTTATTATTATTAATCTTAAAATAATAATGAATTCAATTTGATATTTGTCCGAATAATAACTGATTGTAATATTAATTAATAGTTTAATAATTTACATTAAACTTAATACAAATTATCCAAACTATAAGTCAATTAAAATGTTCAGAATGTTCAGATGATATAACTGATAACATAATCCTGAGTGAAACAGTGGTTATAGATCACTTGAGTTTTACATTTATTTTTACAAGAATTGTAACCAAATGACAATTTAAAATTTTTGTTCTGTTTTATTGTAATTTTTGAGAATTATATTATATTTTATATTAAAGTACAAATAACCCCCATATAACACGGCACTTCTATAGCACGGATTCACTCTAATACGGTTCGAGAATTGGTACCATCCCCCTTATAACACGGTACTTTTATAGCACGGATTTACTCTGACACAGTTCAAGAATTGGGTAAAACCCTTGTACAACAGGAAATGTAATAAATTTTTACATACTTAAGTAATAATGGTTCACAAAAATTATTATTTTCGTGAACTATTAGCACTTAAGTATGTAAATTTTCTCTTCTCGCCTTCTGTCGATACACGTGGTCCTTCTCGAAACTTGTTTCAATGTTGCCAGATCGCGACGCTTCTGCTTCTGATGTTGCCGAATGTTTTTCCCTTATTCCATACTTGCTTTATTCTTCATAAGTGCTTAGCACCATATAAGGAAATTTATAAAGANATATTAATATAAATTAAATAATGTTTTTTTCGTTATTACTAAAAGCACTATTAACCGAGGATAACTTGCCAAAAAGAAAATAGCAAGTTATCCTTATCCTCTGAGCATTTTTCTGCATTATCTTCAGATTCATGCTTTACCTTTTGCAAAAAATACATTATTTTCGATTGCTAGCTTCTATTTAAAAGATCTTTATAAATTTCCTTATATGGTGCTAAGCACTTATGAAGAATAAGCAAGTATGGAATAAGGGAAAAACATCTGGTAACATTGAAACAAGTTTCGAGAAGGACCATGTGTATCGACAAAAGGCGAGAAAAGATAATTTACATACTTAAGTACTAATAGTTTACGAAAATAATAATTTTCGTGAACTATTATAACTTAATTATGTAAAAATTTATTACATTTCATGTTGTACGAGGGTTTTACCCAAATCTCGAACCGTGTCAGAGTGAATCCGTGCTATAACAGTGCCGTGTTATACGGGGGTTACTTGTATTTCCCAGCTTTTTAATTTTTTTAAAAATTTAATTACAGTATATATCATTGCCACATTACTTACCCAAGACATTTGGAATGGTAAGTAATTTTCACATTGCCAGTAGCATTGTCCTTTAGATTTCCTTCTTAATTGGATTAAAGTAAAAACTTTTTAAAAATTTAATTACAGTTTATATCATTGCCACATTACTTACCCAAGACATTTGGAATGGTAAGTAATTTTCACATTGCCAGTAGCATTGTCCTTCATTTCTACTCCAGATGTTATTTTCTAACATAAGAAATAAAAAAATATATACACAGTAAACTATAACTGTTGATAATAAATATGTAAATGTATTCTATACTTAAACTAAAAGAAAAGTCCCAAAGAAAAGTAATTAAAAGTTTTTTTAATTTGCTTTTACTTCCTTACATTAGAGATGTTTAAAGTGACCTCCATTTTCACAATACAACTGTTGAGATGCTATAACATTGACTGTCTACTTGCTTTGAATTTCAAAGCTCATTTCTAATAGCATTGTTTGCATTCTCAACCAACTCTGGTAGTTGCAAATGTTGTAGAATAGGTGCAGGATTCAAATGACACCAAAAATAAAAATCAAAGGATGAGCTAACTGACCAATGACTGGTCCCGACCTTCCTCCACTACCTATCAATCTTTTGGGAAATTTCTGATCAAGGTGCTCCTTTCTTTGCTACAATACCAAACTGAGGGGTGCTCCATCACATGACTGTACTTGATGCTGAGGAAATGTTTTTAACAATTCAAAACAAACTTTTTTACCAAATTCTGCAAGAAGGCTCAAATGATTTCCCCTGTTCGTGTTTGGCAAAACTCAAGTCACTTAATCAGTCTTCAATGATTTCAGCCCAATAATCACAAACTGGTGTTGGCTATGAAAATAGAATATCTCCTTTCTATTGCCTCTTTTTTAAATAGAACATTAGACAGAAAAATAGAATGTTCCATGCATTTCTGCAAAACCCATTGGCACTACTTTAATCTACGTGGAACATCTGCAGGTATAGTACTGTACATCACACATTGAAAAATGGTAGGAATGAAGACTGCTTTCAGCAAAATTTGCATAGAAGTTGTTTGAGAGAGTTTGTATTCTCAAGAAAATGTTCTTGAGCTAATAAACAAATCATTTATTACTTTATTGCCAATATAACTTTCTTTTGTGATGTTTGTATCCTTTATGGCTCTCCTCCTCTGTTTGTACCAAAGAAAAATGATCTCTCTTCTCCAAGACACTGTTGAATATGAGAAAACAAACATTCTTCCATCTGGAATTTTGTGACCAAGAAAGGAGTCTAATAAAGACAGTGTACTGTACTTCTGCTACACTTCCTTATGTATGACCATAAACAAAATGAATGACTACTAACTTGTATGGAGAGAAAAACAAAGCATGTTTGCAATTCAGTCACAACATTGCTCCACTAGTACAGATTTCAGGGACTCTGTATGCAAATTTTTGAGCAAAAATTCAGTTTGGCTGCACCAGTGGTCCATTAAAAACACAACATACAATTTTTTGAACAACCTTTCAGACACTACAATTCCAAACTGTCTTTATTCCATCACTTCAAATCTAGCTATATTTCGAATTTATTGTGCAGCCAGGAATGGCATTGACTTTGAATATCTTTTCCTAGGCACAAAAATAAAATAGGCTCTAACTTCTTTCCTATGGATTTTATGACCTATGGAATTTAGAACTTTTCTTTTAGTTTTTAGGTATAGAATACGCATATGCATTCACTACCAACAGCCTTTACAAGTTTATATTAAATCTTATATTTGATAATTTAAAACTACTTATTTATAATATAATATAAATTAATAAAATAAAAACAAAAATTTTGTTTGCGAAATTTGTCAAACTTACATTGTATTGTTCTTTTACTAAAGTGACTACATTAGAAGAATCATTTTCTAATTTTCCAGTGCTACTACCTTCAAGCTGCTCACTGAGACGGGAATACACAGGTACCTGATTGGCTGTCACAGCAAAAATTATATTCACTTTGTGTTCCATTATTTTATGATTAATCTGGCTAAGGGATGGATAATCTTGGTGTACGCTTTCAGTATAATATCCATTTTTATCCAAATGACATCTGCCATCATTGGGTTTGACAATGCCACCAAGCTGTAACAAAATAAGACATTTCGAATTACTTTTGAGTATTAAATTAATAATATCTCCTGTATAATGATAGAGACAATATCCAGAAATTTAATTTTAAATATAAATCTTTAATAAATACAATAGTACGGAAATATTTCTATCGTGTATAATAACCATTGACTTATCATCCTTTTCAAATTTTAAACTTAATACTGCATCTCAAATTAGATTATAAAAATTAATTTAGCAACATAGCACATTTATATACATTATAGATTAATATATAGAAATAAGAATTATACATTAATGCTATCAGATTAATTTATAAATAGTATAAAATCATAAGAAAAATTTATTATTTAATTTATAAATTAATTTATAATTTTAAATTAATTTATTAATTTTAAATTAATTTATAAATTATCTTTATTACAGTAAAATTAGTGGGTGACAAAGAAGTTTTGAAGTACAGTTGTCCCTCGATAGTCCGACGTTTTTTAATCCGACATGCTCAGTAGTCAGATGCACCTCCCGTCAAGTACCTGTCCCCGTTACGTGTCTGCTTGCACAGAGGCATGTTGCGATGTGAATATCCCTATCCAATTTTTACACGATGACACACATTTCGTGTGTTTTATGTGAGCAGTTCTGTTCAAACAGTTGGAGTAGAGAATATTGTAAGTTACTGCTAGCAAAACAATGCGAAATATGTAATTATTTTTGGTAATCTGGACACTTTTGGTAATCCGACACACCTTTGGTCCCATACCTGTCGGATTATCGATGACAACTGTATATGAATGTGCAGCAGCTGGCAACATGTCACTGACCAAAACTCAATTCGAGTAACATAAAGCAGTGTTACTCTCTTTTTCTTTTCTTGCCAACGGGCTGGTGCAAGCTGAGTAATGTCTACCACCTCGCAATCTACTATATTTGTTAATAATACACTCTCGATTAGACTCGAGTTAATTTATTATTTAAATTATTTCTGAGTTCCAACCATCTGATTATAGTTTCTATAACCAGATGGTGGAATGCAGATTATAGTGATAATTTTAACCAAGAAAAATTGTTGGTTTTTTAAATAGGCGATTCCCACTTTGTTGAAAGGTTTTTAATAAATTAACTCAAGTATAATTAACTGTGTAATATTAATTACAATTAAGAAATTCACTGCAACAAAAATTAGAATTAGTATATTTGTTTTTTATGTTTTGTATATTCTATGTAATTAGTAAATGCAGAGTAATAAATGAATGGGATTCAGCCAGAGAACATAAGGAGAAAAAATGTAAAAACTGTGCAATTCCCAAGTAAAAAATTAGCATTTAACAAATATGAAAAATTATGTGAGTGGGGAAGAAACAACAAGCAATATTCTCTATAAAAATCATAAATTGTTGGTTCTCTTTATTAAATTGATAAATGAAAAAAATTTCAAAATTTAAAAATAAATAAGGAGATGCTAATTCAATTGAAATAATTCCATCGATGAAAATAAAATTCTAGTTTATAAAACGTGGGAATGTTCGGATTTACCTTATCCTTGAATAAGTATATTCAGACAATATATTTCAAATCAATATAAAATTGTTTTGTTTAATCCAATATTCCCATATTAAAACTACACACCATACACAATCTTCCAGCAATATGTATTTGAATTAAATACAAATGAAACATTTTCGGCTGCTTTTAGGGTCAAAAATGCAGAAATACAGGCCCCTAAAAGAGGTTGAAAATGTTCCATTCGTATTTAATTCAAATATATATTATTTACTGAAAGATTGTGTGTATGGCATGTAGTTTTAATTTGTCTATGTTCCAGCTGTTGGAGACTTATGCAATATTCCCATATAGAGAATATGATTTTTAGTGCCACTAACACAATTTATATTTTAGGCAAATTGAAATATGAATTTGTTACATTAGAAAAAAAATTCATAATCTGTAAATAATTTGTTAAATTATTCTTCTCCACACACCGGAACGTACTAAAAATAACTCTTACTTTAAACCTCGTAACCAGAGTGAATGTATAATACTTCCGCAAACGTTTTCAACGCCCCTTCTGGGCTCTTCCTCAGGCTTTTTTTGATAAATACTAAGCTGGACGTTGAAAATCGAACATTTTCTTTTGATATGTTTACCTTTCGAATCATCACACATGGAAACCTTCGAGGCAAATTTAAAACGAAAAAGAGAAAAAAGAGCGATGTTTTGCGTACAGCGCATGCGCGTTACCGTGCTTTCAACGTAAACTTGTTAAAACTTGTAGAAAATTCTGGTGCAGAAAGTTATTTCTCCAAAACTGTTTCAAAATGAAGAAAGCAGTTTCTATAAATTTGGTTGTTCCTATTTTTTATGGAATGTAAATTTATGGAAATTACCTTATTTTAAAAGTTCATTTGGTTGACAAAAATTATAATGTCATATATGTGCAAATGTATAATTATTTAGTTTATAATATTAATTATAATAGTTCATCTACAACCATTATCCCAGCAATGATTTAATGTTTAACAGTTTTATTAGTAAAAAATCCAGTGAGTTGCTTAACTTTCCCAACAAAAATAATTTAAAACTGTGGTGTCATCTATTATAAAAAGATTTTTAATAAAATATCCTATTATTAATTATTATAAAATGGCAAAAAGCTTAATTCTGAAAGTAGAGATGTTTTATGAAAACTTGCAAATGCTAATAACAAGTAAAATCTTGACACAAGATAAGAAAGAGGGGATGACAAGACTCCCCTTTTTCTTGTCATCCCCTCAACATTTAACCACCAAAATTTAATAGCATGTTGATTTATTTGCCTCCTAATATACAAACTTCCCTGAAAATTTTCAGAAATTTTTTACAAACAGCACAAGATATTAAGCTTAAAAAGCAGATAAACAAAAATACACACAAACCACCAATTTTTTTTGCATTTCTTTGTTTCAAGGTCCCCCAAATCCAAAAGTGTAAAAATCTCGGTGGCGTCATTTTTTGACCAATTCCCATACTTTCCTCGTTATATATAGTATCCAAGAAAGTTATAACAAAAACTCTTCCTAACCTGTTACCGGTGTGTTTTCTTTCTTCTAAAACTCGTAACCAACCACAAATAACTCTTTACTAACGTTTTCGAACCCCCAATGACAGTTCTTCTACAAAAATATATGTCTTTGAAAAATGACATATTTTTGAATTTGAAATTTTTACGAGCTGCATTTCCATCAGAGATTCGAAATACCCGAAGAAGAACCATCGTTGGGAGTTCGAAAAAGTTAGTAAAGAGCTATTTTTGGTTGGTTACGAGTTTTAGAAGAAGGAGAATGCACCGGTAACAGGTTAGGAAGAGTTTTTGTTAGTATTCTCCAGTGTTGAGATAAAGATGTGTAGCAAGAAAGTTATTATGTAATACTTCCAATATTAGGTTTTCTTGATAAAAAATGAACACTCGATAATAATATATACTACATTGAAAACCTCGATCGTCAGTGGTGTGGTCGGACAATTTCTTTTATACAGATACTAAGAAGTAAAATAAAAAATGAATTTATGTTTATTATTTTGTATTATGTATGTGTATGTCTTTCACATTTTATTTGAAATTTGTCTCTAAATGTGATTTACATTCCTTAAGTGGCATTTATAATTCCTATATTATTACTGGAAATATAATTTAACATTTAATTTCTTTTAAGTATTGTATTTATGACCTACCTTACCATCACCGGCATAATGAAAACCACTGTCTGAAGAAAATACAAGCATTTTTCTGGATTTTTTACGCCAGCCAATTTCTTTCTAAAAAAATCAAAATAATAATATTAATGTTATGTTAAGATATAATATATTATAAATGATAAATCATATAAGGTACTAACTTCACAAACTATAGCTTGCATAATGGCATCAAAACCACCTTCTGGAGCATCTAAATTGCCCGAGACTTTGGTACTGTTGACTTCTTTTGCAAAGGCTGAAGTATTTAGAGTAAGAGGCATGTGATTATGGAAACCATAAGGTGCAGCACAGTTTGTACATGGTTCTTTTAATCTGTAATCATCAGAAAACAGAATAGTTTACAATATATTTTTATTTCTATATAATCCATTTTTAATAGAAGAAAATTTTCTGCACATAATTCACTTTTCAAAAACACCTAAATTATGATAACATCAATAAGTTAATACAATTAAAAGCTATAAACTTTCTTCCTTTCTCTTTCTAAAATTAAGGATAAAATTTATATTTAATAACATTGAGTAAAATTTAAGTAGAAAACTACTTACTTTTCCGGAACTGTGCTAACGTAAGGCATTACTACTTTATCGACAAAGGAACCGAAACCTAGCCGAAAGTTAGCTGTTATTTTTCCCATCTGGTCGGATAAAAGATCTCCCAATTGTGCTAATTTAGTTTTATCGTCTTCCATCGACTTCGACAAATCCATAAGATAATACAGATCCACTGGGTAATCTTCCGCCTGTCGAAATTCTACTTTCAAAGTTTGTTTTGATTCTAAAAGTAAAAACAAAATGTATGGAAAAAATTATAAATTTAATGAATATTATAAAAGTCATCATTATTTTATAATATTCATTAACAAAATATTAAGTAACGAACATCATTAATTAAGAATCTAAGCAAACAAACAATGAAAAACTTCAAAATTTTTTGCATATCATATTATTTATTCACTAAATTATATATACTAAAATGTAATGAAAATAAATTTAAAATTAAATTGCCATATCTCATTCATTATATACTGTACTTGAATGTAACATGATTTTAAATTTTATCTTTACAAATATGAATGTAGCGGTGATCCATTATAATTAACAACAAATACCAAGTACATATTCAAAGGTCAGTATAAAAATTAAAAAAGATAGAAATATTCTAAACAAGAATCATACAAAGCTGAAGCTAAAATGAAAAATAAAGTTTATTTATTTATTACATACAAAAGGAAAATGTCGCAAGTCAATAGATATCCACCCCCAATAAATAACCCTTGCAACAAAAGATTAAAATACAAAAAACAAAAAAATTAACAGAGTTGATAAATATATATTAAATTTAACTAACAGATATAATAATAAAAATTACAAATTATAAAGTATAAAGTAACCATTTAGAAACATGTTTAAAACGTAAAAAAAATCTTCATGTAAAGATTGTTCCACTAAGCTCATATTCTGAATAGATCAACAGAAAAAAATCTGAAAGAAATCATTATCTTGAACAAGAAGTAATTGACACATTATTCTTTTAGAAAAATTAGGTATAAAAGACCAAAAAGTGTTAGGGTTTGACAAAAATGACTCCATTATCTTATTAAAATAGTTATGGAAAAAAGTATGGCATTCTTGGAAGTACTTTTTTGAATGATATGGTGTATTTGAAAGTCACAGGAGTTACTAGATTTTCTCCATTTGTTCCAGTATTTTTGAAGTAAATTACAGTGGTGCCTCATATAACATACTCAATCCGTTCCAGGTGCACATCTGTTAAGTGAAAAGTCTGTTATACGAAACGCATTTTTCCATAGAAATACATGTTAAAACATGTAATTCGTTTCGCAGCATAAAATAACCATACTGTACCATAAAAAAATGAAAATGGAGCAGTCACCAATTATGCCAGGTAGTCAGATGTTGTGAGGAGGAGGTGGAGGAACACTTTCTTCACACATTCATACAGACACACACTCTTTACACATTGCAGTGGGTCTCGTTTTATTGTTTTTTAATCGGAGTCAGATTCAGGAGAGGCTATCGGAGCTTGCAGGGTAAACTCCTCTTTTTCCATCCTTTGTTTTTTGGCAGCTGGCTTCTTGAAAAAACATGTCCAAAGTGGTCTGTTTCTCTCTCTTCTTCAACATCTGTCAGAAATGACGGGCAAGAGTGTCATTGTAGAGATCATTGATCCTGTTGGCTTCAGCTCTGTTTGGATAATGAGTGTTGGTAAACTCCTGAACCTGTCCCCATTTGACAAGGAAGTTTTTGTCAAGTTTCACTCCTTCTGATGATGTCTTGCTTTGTTTGAATTGATATCACCTTTCTGTTTATTTAGAAGCCATGATTTTCACAACACTTGAATAAATGTAAATACCCTGCACTGAGGTGATGTACGCAATAAACAAGGGAGCAAGCCGAATCACAACGGGAGCTCTGTACTTCAGATATACTAATAATATATTCTAATAATATTAATATATTATAAAAATAGCAGATTGTCATTGGCAACGGCAAAAGAGTGAAAACATCATTCGCACTTGTTTGCAGAAAGTCCGTTGTTCGCCTCACGTAACTGCCAAACGGAAAGTCCGTTGTTCAAATCACGTAACGACCAAACAGGCGTTGTTTGCAGCGTCCATTATTCGAGGCATACGTTATACGAGGCACCACTGTACATAGATTTTCAGATGATAAGTAAACCATAAGACTACAAAATGCATTATAATACACTGTTTGCTTCACAATGAAATATGAATGAAAAGAAGAAAAATGATCAATATTACTAACAGAAAATGTATGTTATTCAATAACAAAACACAAAATTAAGGAGTCTCTTTAGAATCAAAAATTTTTAATTTTTGTGTAGACATTTTAATGTTTGCTGTGACAAATAGAACAAGCCACTTATCTATATAACATCAAATCATGTTGGCGATTTTGTTTTCACTTAATACTCCTCCATCTGTCCTATATACTACAGAAAAAAAGCAAAAGCATTTAATTATCTAATTTTGGTCTTTGGGAAAGTTTCACAAGAATCAATATTAAACCATAGTCAATGATATTACTTAATAAAAGTTATTCAACAAAATATATTAATTGGCATTGTAATTACTTCCGTGTTTCCAATGCACGACATGCTAAGCCAAATCCAATTTTTATTACATAACTTTCATTAATTTTTACAAAATAGCAATCCAATTTTGTAATTTGTGTCCATATCTGTATTTTCATGTATATATCCTCTTCAGTATGACTAATAACTTTTTTCAATGACACAATATACTATTACTTAAAAATACACAAATTTAAAAACTTAGCAATAACTTAAGTTTTACAATTATACTTCTGAACATAATGTAAATAAATTATACACTTTAAATTCCATGTATAATTGCTATTATGTAAAACTAATTTATGTTTAAAAATTACACATTAAGCCTGTCATCCTTCCACACCATTCTTTTGGAGATGTATTTTGTTATTGTAAAATTATACACAAGGATACAATAACTGCAAGTTTAACTCCTTATTAAAGTTAATGTTACAAGTTTACTATATGTATTTTAAAAAATAACAAACATAAATACATGAAAGATATTTTAATGAGATATGCCATATAATTGAGATGCTGAATTACCAAGAGTCTAATGTAGTTTAATAAAATAATCACCATATCGACAGAGTCTAAATTACCACATATACAGTATATTAGAAACCTTTGCCACGTTTAAAAACTAATAATTAAAAATCAAATAAAAAAATATAAAGAGCAATGAAATACAAGGTAAATCCAAAATTTATGCTTCTTTATTTGTGGATTACAGCAACGCAAATAAACTAAAAACAAACTTAATAGAAAAATCACCATAAAATTCCAACAACATTCAATTTAACAGGACTAACAACACAGTAATGTTAATATAGTAATGTTTTATTAATACTTTAAAATTCCTAAGATAATGTTGCAACTTCTATTGCTTCTACAGCTTGTTTTATGCACGTAAAAACTCCTTTTACTCTTCTTTCAGTTCTTAATCTTTACTTTTCTATTAGTTTTTGTCTAAATTTTTTTTTCTTAAACATTTCATTCCTGATAATATTTCTGAATTTAACAAAAGAGACTGATTCGGGATTTGTTTCTTCCAATAAAATGCATAACATTACTACCAATGAGAAACAACCTCTTGATTCCAAAAATCAAGAAAATATAATAAGAACCAAAAGGGAATTTATATCCATGTAAAATGAGCTATGGAGCAAAACGGAAAACTTATCTCAATATACTTTCTTAGACATGTAAAAATATTTTAACTAAAAACAATCTTTATTGAAACTTCTTGAGAAATTCTTCAGATACTTTTAGAATATTTTAGAAAGTTTGCAAATCTCTTTCTATCTTTTAATTAAAAGTGAAATAAAGAAATTAAGCTCTTAGAACTTTGAAGGGATCAGTAAAATATAGACAAATCAAATTAATTACAAAATCGATATCAAGTTTAAATTGGCAATTACAGTGGAACCTCGGTATACGACCTTAATCCGTTCCTGGTGTTTGGACTTATACCGAATAGGACGTATACCAAACCAACCTTTTCCATAAGAAGTAATGTAAAAATGATTAATTCGTTCTCATGTAAAAAAAATGGCTGGCTTTAAACACCTCGCTTTCCTGGCTAGTTTCTGCTTGATTTTTCATGAGATCAGCATGTATCTTTTCAACTTTCTCGCAAATAATTTCTTCCGATACGCTGTCGCCGGCACACTGCTTTTCAGTTATCCAAAGCAAAAGCAATTTCTCGACATGATCTAATGTCTTCGATCTCTGTTTAGAAATTGATTTAACCCCTTTCGCAACGTTAGCAAATTTAATAATGTCTTTATTTTTCACGATTGTCAATATCGTTCTCGGAATACGGAATGCAAGTTAATCTCAAACACGCATGCCACCTTCATATTTCTCAACAGTCTCTTTTTTCAGTTCCGTTGTGATTCTAGTCACTTTTTTATTTTTCTGTTGCCCTTTTGCAATTTATGATTAATAAAAATAATAAAATGTTACTTACAAATTAAAATCAGAAGAAATTTAACAAAGTTATAAACCGTAGCACCGCAAACGTCTAGTCTGGTGTATTACACCGATAGTGCTACTTGTTTATAGATGGCGAGTATAATTGAATTAAGTCGTATACCGAACAGAAGTCGTATACCGAGCAAAATTTGTTTCGTCCAAACAGGACGTATTCCGAATTGAACGTATTCTAAAGCAGACGTATACTGAGGTTCCACTGTATATGTATTTTAGATTGATAGTATTTCATCACAGGCAAATGGTCGAGCAGTTAAGATGACAGCCTAATGCTCTGGGAACCTGAGATCAAATTCAGACAGGTCAAAAAACACAGGAATTTTTTGGGGTGGTCCTTCAAGACACGTCAGGCACAATCCCTCACCAACAACCATCCCAATCAGGACAGAAAGAGTTTAAAAAAAAAAAAAAAATAGTGATTCATTCTCAGATTTATATACTTCAGTTATAATATAAACACGTTTATATAAAAACATCACTTTTAAACTCGATTTAAATTTCTANTTCGTTAAATTTCTTGCGTATTTTTATATTATTTACAAATTAAAGTCGAGCGAGTTCATTTTGAAATGGCACCTGCGTTACATTATTGAATGGTTTAGAGACGTGATGCATGTAAACCGTTTTTTTTTTTTTTTTTAGAAAATAAAGAAAGAAAAGAAAACAAGAACAAAACAAATATTTCGTTAAATTTCTTGCCTAAATGTATATTATTTACAAATTAAAACTATCAAGTGACTATTGTATGTTAGATTTAAACCATTCTATTTTGGTTTTGAACTTACTTGGTCTTAATCTTAACCTAATTTCTTGAGGTTTTATTTGGATAGCTTTTCCTTCTGCAACACCCTTATTGCTTAATTCATCATCCTAATAAATATGAAAAAATAAATATTTAGTAATTTGTCTGTATATAAATAACAAAATCAATTGTGTAGTTTAAATATTCAAATGGTATAATTTTTGTACATAATTTATGTTTTCAAACTTTAATATCAACATTACAATTAATTAATTTTTGCCAGATATTAAAAATACGTCTATCGTCATCATCAACATACAATTTTAAATAGATTTATAATCATGATTCACTCCAAAATAAATCCTAGAAAATATTCTAAGATTTAAAATAATCTATTTTTATATAATAATATAACTATATTATTGTATTCCTTCTCTTCTTGTCATATCTCTATTTTCAGTTTTGACTCATCTTTCTTCTTCTTGATTTTCCTCTCACTGCTAATTTACCTGCATTGTCATCCCTTCTGTTTTCTAAAGAACATTTCTCACATTCTTTATGCCACTAGATACTTTGTCATCTGGAAACATGCCATTTAACCTTTCATCTAACTTTTGCTCCACAGGATTCGTCTTTTCCACAATTGAGGAGAATCTTCCATTTTGTAATTGAACCAATTATGAAGACAAAAACCTGATTGAAAGAACTGTCTGCAATGCTTCTTAGTAACAAAACAAAACAAGGTATTTTCTGCTCTCTTATGAAAGCAAAACATGGAATTCGATCAATTATGAAACAGAAGATTTTCCTCAATTCGAAAAGAAATCCTTTAGAGAAAAAGTTAGACAAAAGCTTGAAAGACACGTTGCCGAAATATCTCGAAGCATAAACAATATAAGAAACCTTCTAAAAAAAACAGAAAGAATGGCAGATTATTGTATCATTTATTATAGAATATTAATAATTAAAAATTTTTAGTTATAAAAAATATTTTACTTTCCTGTCCTCATTTTACTAAAGAATTTATTTTTGATTAAAAAATTATCCAGCTGTAATTACAGATATGCTTAAAAGACTTTTTATTGGTCTTTCCTGTAATTTCTGATAAAACAAATGTTTTTTCAGATGAGCATACAGTACAGTTGACCCCCCTATAACACTGTTGATTACTCCGTTTTATATGAATTCCATGTTGTATGAGTCACTTAGGTTTTACAAATACGTGAGCCGTTCACAGCCCGGCATACATACATTAAACGAGTCACTTAGGTTTTACAAATACGTGAGCCGTTCACAGCCCGGCATACATACATTAAACGAGTCACTTAGGTTTTACAAATACGTGTGCCGTTCACAGCCCGGCACACGTATTTGTAAAATCTAAGTGACTCATACAACATGAAATTCATATAAAATGGAATAATCAACAGTGTTATAGAGGGGTCGACTGTAATATAAAAAGCCAAATAAGTCTTTTTTCCGAAAACTTTGCTTTGTTTCTTCTTATGATAAGAATTAGAGCTTAAAAATATCTAGGAATTTATCATATGACTGGAAATTTATGATGTGCTAAAATATATATAAACAAAATTCAGTTTAAGAAAATCTGTAGGTATTTTTTCCTTAAATGCTTTATACATAAATTTATTAAAATGATTTTGTACTTAGAATATCCGTTCTAAATACAAACAGCAGTTTAACATTCTCCGAAAACAAACCAAAACATAATAAATAATTTATGACAATACAGTTCCCAGTAAAAGTATCAATTGATATCATTTCATATGTTCAAATAATGTCAAAATGTTTAGAATAGACATAAGATAACACAGCAATTTGTCAATAGAACATTTGAAATTAATTCATTTATAGATATATTCAAAAATCATTTAATTTTAAATGCTGCATATTTTAGAAACATGTTAAATGCTTTGTTTAACTTTACATTATTTAACATCCATAATATAGCAATTAGAATCAACAGATAATTTGAGATCATTTAAAAGTAACTTTATATTTTTGCTCATACTTTCTATATAAAAAAAAAAAAAAATTCCAAAATGTCTCTCTCAGAAAAAAATCAAATGTATGTATGTTTTAACGAGCACAAAAATCAGCTTAATTGTTTAAAGATTTGCACTATTCTCTTTCATTTCCATTGTGCAAGCACTCCAGAAATAACAATATAAAATATGTTTGGTACAATCTATTCAACAGACATGTGTATTACATAAAATACAAAGTTTGGAAATTGACAATTTATACAAAATAATCTAGTTTACAAACTCTGATAATTATTTATTTTGTTTCGTCTATATTAATTCATTCTTTTTTAAATTTGAAACAATAAATTTGAATGAATTACAGGATATTTGAAAGTTTCTCTTTATGTGAATAAAGTTTAATTCTTAATTTATAAAAATAGTTTTGTCCACAAATTGGTTATAAAATTAAATGCGCAATTGTTCAGAGAAACTATTTGTTAACCTTCCAACAGTGGGCTAGTCGGGTATGGTTCTACCCCCAGTAGTGGAGAACAAATGTGGGAAATTTTTAAAGTATTTTTCCACGCGTTTTTTCTCATTACTGTTTCAGAAAAAGATTTTGTAAACAGTTATATCTAGTAAAGAAAAGTCTTTTTTTATTGTTACATAATTCATTTTTTATGTAAATTTTTTTTCGCAGTAGTTTTAGGCTAGTTTTTGGCGATACCCCCGAAAAGAATTTGACGACTAGTCGTCCCTCACCACTGCCACACGATCGCCCTTGTTCATGAATTAACCACTCAGCAGTGAGTGGTTAATTTACAATATTTAAAATTTCTCTTTAGATTTCAGAACATGTCAACTTAATGACAACACCAAAAAAAAACACAAATGCTAAACTGATTAATTCAATAAAAAAGTTGGACATTTTAAACAATTTTTGAGACTCTTCCATACCAACATCAAACCATATAACATTTGAAACAAAAATTTGAATGAGAAGATCTGTAGATTTCTGTTGAGCATTTAAGAGAAATCTACACATGTTCTTTTTTGAATTTTCCATTTTTAATGTCTAATTATGGGATGGAAGAGTCCAAAAAAAATTTGTTCCAATAAGAAAAACTTGAATTCCTTTTAATAAGTCTATCATTTGCATTTTCTTTACTTTGCATCATCATTTTATAGTCTGAAATATCACGGGTCGAAAAATCTCCAAGAGTTTTTCATACGATGGTCCATCCGGATATGTTGGGCCCTGCCCTTCACAACCTGGCTGTACCATTACGGCTTGCTAAAAGAGGCCCTTTTAGTGTCCACAGGGCAGAAAGAGTAAAAAAGAAAGTCTGAAATAGCCATTCAAAATAATTTGTATTAAAAGATGTTTGTTAACATCAACTGAAATATTGTCGATGATATCAATTAATACAAAATTGTTTCAAATGGATATTTCATACTATGATATCAATTTATTTCATTTATGTTATCATACAAAATGTTTAACAATAACAGATATCATCTAACTGTCAATCAATACAAAGTGTTCATTTGTTATTTTACAAGCTGAAATATCCATTTCAAACAAATTTATTAATTGAAATCAGTCAACATTATTTCAAATAATAACTGACATAACATCTAATGACACAACTTGGATCATTTCAGTTTAAAATGATTCTAATTGTACTGTTTCTAATGATATCAATTGGTATTTTTACTAGAAATAACCTCTTACTTAGCTTGTTATATTAAGTTTTTTAAACTTTAAGATGGGTAGAAGGAGAGACTAAATTTACATCAAATTCATGGAAATAATAAAAAAAAATACAATTTATTCATGTACAAATTTATGTAAAATGTAGATAAGGTCTGATAATTTAAATAATGAGATATATGTTACGCTGACCAATATACAAATTCATGCATTCCATAACATTTGGTAATCTCTCAGCCTGGCAACACCAAATCCCATTCTAAGTATGGAGAGAAATCTGCCACTATTTGCAAAGATAATATAAGATTACTGTCATAAGTGTGCCAGGGAGCAGAGAGAAAATATCAAATTCTATTTTTAACTAGAAAAGTGCATCTGAGGAAAGTGCAAAATGTAACTAGCAATTATTTACAAGAAATTTCTGGAGCAGTTCTGGAAAAGAATTGTCTGTATCTGTCCCAGGTATCTGTCAGCAGGTGTTAGAACCTCCTTTACGATAATGCTCTAGCTCACCGGGCTGTAGCTGTCCAGGAATTCCTGGCCTGAAAACAAGTGTGTGTACTCAATCATCCATGATATTCCCCAAGATTTATCTCTGTGCAATCATTTTCTGTTTCCCAAAGTAAAAGTTACCACTGAAAGAACATCATGTTCGAGATGTTTAAAGACATCTAACAGGCTGTGACATCAATCTTCATGCCATAAAAAAAAATATGCAGAGGTCTTTCAAGTCCTAACTGTTCAGTGCCACTCACAATATTGATACAGTAGGAATGTACTTTAAAGAAAATCCAACTATTCAACTGGCTTGTTTCTTTTTATTTCATGACATTTGTCTCATTATTTAATTATTGGATCTTATATAATTTATATGAGTAACATACAAGACTAAACTATATGTTGTATACGATTAAATTATGTGTACAGTAAATATAGTAAAAAAAACTGTTTACAAAAACGAACATGCTTTTATTTTAAAAACATAAACTTAACACTATTTTTCTAATTTAATCATGTAATTTACAAATATAACTTAATAAACTTGTTTTCTCTTCCCCAAAACATTCTTCCATATTTAACTTTTATATTAATAAATCTATAGCCATACAAGATAAATTCATTAATGATTCTCATCTTAGTTTTTATTATAAAATAATTCTTAGTGTTCATACTGTTAAAGATGGCAGAAATAGTATGAAAATATTTCATCTCTTCTCAAGTTATTCTTTATGCTTTGTTTTTTGTCTATTTTTAATCCTTCACAATTGTCTTCCTGTTTGGATGTTTGTAACTTTTCCTTCCTTTGATAAATCTTAAATACCTCTTGTATAGTCCTTAATTAAAGAATCATTGAGACCTCTTATATCCCACTTTACAAATTCTCTCAGTTCTTATATAGAATCTTCTAAAGATTTAAATTTTTGTCCCGGTTTCCTTTTCTTTTAATTATAAAATAAAATCTAAATACTTTATCATAATCTCTTCTTATTTAAATGATTTATTTCTTACATATAAGATCAGTCTTTAAGTCTCAACACTATTATAATGAAGAAGAAAAGGAAAGATAATACAGTAGTTGAGCATTTCATGAGATCATTTTACTCAACTTTTCAGATTTATTTAAAATTATTTTAAATAAATCTGAAAAATGGAAAAATTGTATTTAAAAAATTTTTTATAACATTTTTCTAGTAATTGTTTTACTCTTTGTATTTTTAATCTGTTTCTACTTGGATGATAATTATCATCCAAGTAGAAAAAGATTAAAAATACAAAGAGTGAAGTACAAATACAAAAATGCAAACAAAATACACATTATAAATGTTTATTTTATTAATTTTAAATGTCGTATCATTGCAACATTCACTTATTTATCCATTTATTATTACTACTATTACAAGAATAAATTTATGATTCATTGTAACTTCCTGATGAAACTATTATTGCAGACATAACTTCACCCCGAGTGAAATAAATTGAAACTACTATTTTTTTTCTTACTGAGAGAAAATGTCAAGTTATGCAAAGCTGGTGAAATGCTTGAGCATGTCGAAATTTTTTATGGCATACCAAGAGATATTTGTCAGATTTTTTAAAAGTATAATAAAAAGTAAAGATACTCTTAAAAATTTCTAGCTAAACTTTAATTTCAAAAACGTTATAATTTGATTTAAATAAATTATTTTAACAATGGTCATTTTACTGGTAAAACAATCAAATGAATAATGTATCTTTCTATTTCTGAAGCCAAACAAAATTTCACATAGCTCAACATTGTCCCTCCTTAAATCGAAGTAGCTAAGTGATTTCCTAATTTTTCGAGCCACTGCCCCTTTGTTCCATAAAGTTATATCCAATGTTCCCTAATCCATTTTCCCTTGTGTGAGAAAGGTTTGGAAATATTCTTAGAAAAACTTTTCTAAGAAACTCACACTTTGTGTCATTACTGTACATTGTTCTTCACATCTGGAAACCATTAAACAAATTGTTTCTTCTTATCAGTTTTAAAAGAGGAAAGGGAAAGATTGTCTGTGACTCCAATCTTTGCCTATAACCACCGTTCAGTACCCTGTCATACACTTGCTTCTTTTCGCCTCCTAGATTTACTCATCGCCCACAAGGAGGCAGTAGCACCACTTTGGGAACCACTGAACTAGCTGAACTTAGCACATGCCAACCAACCCAAGTTTATTAAGATCTGCAAATCCCTGAATCCTCAGGTATGGTACATTGTTTGGTAAACTAGCTTTAATACAGCTAGATAAGTAAGCCAATGATAGAGCTGCCAATTTAGCGAATAATTTGCTAAATCTAGCTTTCCTGTAGCATAAAGTAAATTAAAAGTTATGTTCTCTACCTAGTAGAGATGTCAACAGTTTTTGTTTTTGTCACAGTGAGTAGAGAAGAGTCACTGCAGTAACAAATATTTTTATTTTAGTGTTGTTTTTTTTTTTTTTAATTTCCATTGGGGAATACTGATTTTCTCATAATTCATATTTCTATTTATTTAAGGATTAAATCCCTTATTCTATTGCTTTGTACTTTGCAGTTAAATAAAAATCTTTCTACAGTAAATCTCTGAATAGTGGGACCGTCAAGACTGAGAAGTTTGTCTGCTATTTACAGGTGCCCACTATTCATAGGTAAGAACCATACATGCTGGCAGCTATACTGTATCTTAACCTGATCATCATGTAGTGAAGAATACAATAGATTATGAAAACATCAGGAATGTAAATATATCAAAAAGTATATGTAGCATTTATAATTAAAATATATACTTTATATCATATTAATTGAATCTTGTTTGAATGTGGATTTGCTATCCACTTCAAGAGGTATGAAATATATTCGAATTGTTACAATTATAAACGTATGATCTAAGTGACTAATAAAAATCAATACTGTGATTTGTTTGCTTTGTAGTTATCGAGTAGGTGTAATATTTCAAACATTTTTGCTTTTTTCAGTATAATGATTTATTAAAAATTACATTTTAGCCATCACAAGGCTGTTAAAACAATTATGACAACAGAGTTTGTTTGGTGAAAGTTCAAAGGTCATGTTACAAAAAGGCAATTTGCTGACCACTTTAAAGTTGGAAAGATATTCAGTTTTCTTGCATTTATGATCTTAAATTTCTTTTTCATTACTACTATCCTATGGTTCTCGTCAAATGAATGATGAATAACTTGGGAAAAGTTTATAGTTTTTATAAAGTATCATAAACTTAATTCCAAGAATAGGAACAAAATTTAATAACATTAATATGTATAATGATAAATGGTGATTGACAACCTAACCAGATTAAACTTCTCTAACAGATAAAAAAATATTGTTAGACTTCTTATAACATGCCCTCTTCCCCTATTCCTATTTAAGTCAGTTGTTATTTGATACATACAGTCAAAATTCGTCATCTGAAAGAGTATTTGAACTGATTCTTTGTTTTTGTTTTATGTACAAAATATTTTAATTAATTCTTTCAGAATATTGAAGGCGGAACATTGAGTTTTCGTAAGGTTGGTCAACAATGGTGTCCATTATTTAGTGTCTACTATTTAGAGGTAACATAATAGATGTCCTATTTGAAGTGTATGGGAATTTTTACTGTAAAAATGCCCGTTAAGTAGAGGTGTCCATTATTCAGTAGCGTTCATTAATGGAGGTTTCACTGTATTTTTTATATACCCATATATAGAACTCTCCATAACTTATAAGTGGCCACTTTTTGGTTCCTTCAAATTTAAGATTTAAAGGTTTAACTGTATTTGCCAGTCATAATATCTCTTCCAATTTCTTGTCTTTTATGCATTTTTTTTCAAAAGTTAAATAATGATGGATACCTAAAATTTTCTAATATAGCATTATTAGACTTTTTATACTTCATTGTATTTTATACTTCATTGTAAGCCATATGATTTCATTGCTTCTGCCATGTTGACAGATCAACACCATAACTCTCAGTTTTCTATTGGCTAACAATAACACTTTTGTATATAAAGAAACAAAGTTAAATATTTTTTAATTCTATTTTCCTGTTCTTTCTACATTATCAAAATGGAAAATTTTTCTGTTTTCATGTTATTTTACTGTAGTACAGTAATACCTCGACTTACGCTACCCCGACTTATGCGAACCCGGAGTTACACGATTTTCAAATCTCATCGATTCGTCTTTTGTTTGAGCACCACGCAACCCTCGATTACTCACTCTCCCCACACTATTGTTCAGCTTACATGTTCAGACGTGTCATGCAGAATCGACACATAGCTACAATTTATTTTGTGTTATTTATTTCTGTGTTTGTTATATCTAAGGAGCCTTGAGAGATAATATGTGGTGATTTCTTGTAACCGTGAACGAATCAAAAGACGAGATAAGATTAACGAGAGCATTTATTAGCTTACATACATCCGACTTGGATTTTATACAAATTGCGAAATAATACCCCGACTTACGTGAATTTGAGTTACGCGGTTATCGTTCGGTCCCACCTATCGCGTAAGTTCGGGGTATTACTGTACTTTTCTGTAAGTGATATGCAGAATAGTCTGAGAAAACCTTCAAATATATCAGGTTCATGCAGAAAAATTTAAAAAATAGTATTTTTACATTAAGTTTAAATTTTTTAAATGCGTACATACCTTTAATTTATCAACTATCTGACCAGGAACTACTACATGAGAAATATTGCATATTCTGTATAAATTTCCTCTGTAGTCGCACCGTTTTTCACCATCGATAGCGATATTCTGTAAGATATTTTTATTTTTAATGCACGATTACTTTAAATACTGGTAATTAAATAACAAACTGTTTAATATAGACACTGATTCAATTCAACTTTAATAGATTTAAAAATAAATAAATTATTATTAAATCTTAAGTAAATGAAGGAAGTAAATAAAACAGATTATTGAATTTGTATTCTATTATTAATTCATAAATTTAGACAAAATACATCAAATATTTACTGTAATCCCCCCATACACAATTATAATAATTCTGTAAGTTTACAATCAAAAAACTTGGCTTAAAGTTTTATATATAATATGATATTTTCTTATCTTATTATTTGTTTTCTTATGGTTTTACGAGGATATAATTTTTTTTTTTCTAAAGGGATGCCAAATAGTCAATTGATAGTGCTGTTAGCAATGTAAATACAAAAAATAAATAAAATATATTTACGTTAATTATTTTAACATCACAATACGGAATATGCTTGCATTGGTTATAAAGACAATATAGAAAACAAGAACATTAATTAATTTAATTGGTTCAAGAACTGGAGAACATTCTTTCTAAAATTTTATTGACACTAATTTCTGATAATTAGAATATATAAAATTTTAGAATAGGTTGAGTAACACTCATTTTATAAATATTGGTTTCAGATAATCTGCTAATGTCAGTATAAAGTATTTTCATTCATATTTTTTCTTGGAATTCATTTTATTTGATGTGATCCTTTTATGAATTTTGGACTAAAATTATATTTAGAAAATATTCTTATATACTACTGAAATGAACTGCGTAAGTATGAATTTTCTTTTGTCACACATGTAATGAAGTATGACATCCTATTTTATAAAAGTGTCTATTTTTAAAATACTAGTTACTTTAATTATAAATCTCATTACCAAAATTAAGTTAACAATAAATTAAAAAAGTATAATTATGAAAGAACTTTGTTAGCGCAACTAACAAAGTAATACAATTCTAATGATTACATAAGTATTTGCAGAAATGTTATCTATGTAACTGATAAAGTGATATCAAATCAAAACAAAATAAAATTTATATGTATATAATCTTTCGTGTGTTACATTTCCTCATATAATGCAAATATAACAAACCTGTTTTATAAGTTGAAATAATTTTATACGTCTTTATCAATGAAACATTTGAACATATTAAAGTTTAGTGTTCATTATATGCTGGAATTCGCATTTAGGTCTCAAGTTGTTTGTTTAGAAACAATATTCACCGTAAGAAATACTAAAGTCAAATTTTGTTCACCAGTGGCCAAGTGGTCTTCGTACCCCGAACACTGGGAGTTCGGTCGTGGGTTCGCGCCTCGCTCAGACAGGCTGGCCACGTGGAGTTTTCCGTGTTTTCTCCACGTCTGTAACACCTAAATAGGGGCCAGTTTCCCTTAAAAAGACCTCCCGGAAGGCATCCCCCTAGGCAGATCGCCCAAGTGTTGCATTGCCATAACTCAAACAAACAAACAAATTTTGGACATTTATATAAAATTTTGATAAAATAATTATTGCAGTTTGTGTATATCGGTATCATTTCATCACATGTACAATTTAATGAGAAGACTTTGATTTAGATTTAGACTGTTGTAAATGTGTTCCAAAGAAGAAAGTACTGTATGTTCAAATAGGAGTTTTGAAAGTTCATTTTTGGTAATATGGACATCAAAGACGGATGAAGAAAAACTAAAAGCACTCAGTCAGTTTTTATGAATTCCAATTTAAGCAGAAAGGTAATAAAATATTTTTATATATCTTTCAGTTAAATTTATTAAACATACCAAAATATTTTTTCGGAAAAGCTTAAAACTTTTTAGTAAAATCATATTTAGTTAAAAATATTTTTCTAAAAATATTCAAGTAACTTAACTTGTAAACAGAATAACTTTTAGAAAAATATTTTTCTAAGAACATCTCAATCCAGTTTTTTAAAATCATAACTGAACAATTATAATTATTAACAGAAAGCAAATGTAAATTTAAAAAAGTAAAATAAATTTAAATGAATAACATATAAGTAATAATGTATTAGATAGGAAAAAAGTTTCGAATATTGCAAAATCATTAAAAATTTTTAGGAAAATTTAAAATATCATCATTGAAATGCTTAATACAAAAATAAGTGTGTAATATTTTGTTCTAAATTAGTTTATTGATAAAAATTAACTTATATCAGATGTTAAAATGAAATAATATTTTATTCTACTCAATGTTCATAAACTTCGTTGCTTACTCCGGATTATGACGTTTAAGAAGTAATTTAAAAAACTTATTCCTTTCTTGTATTTTAGTGTTTTTATTGTAATAAATTTAACTCCACTAACTTTCTTTTTAAAAATTATAGAATTAAAATTTATGATGACAGTTCCATTTTTTGGATTGGTTATACTGAATATGAATTTGTGGTTTCTGTTAAGCAACTGGCTTACGATATTTATTGTTCTCTTTTACTTTGCTAGTTTTATTAACGAAAGAAAAACCTTAAGTGGAGGTTTTAACTCATCTGACATCTTTGAAAATCAAACTGTTAACAATAGCATACAGTATATGTATTTTATATTTTTTTTATTTGTTTTAATTTTTTACATAAACAAATAATATACCATTAACTATCAACCTAATTAAACAATTTTTATCAAATGTTAAATTATGGAAAAAGTACTGCCTGAAAAATCTGTACTACAGTAGAGTCTCGAAAACTCAGCACTCGATAACCCGGCAGTCCGGATAACTGGGCCACACCCTAGCAGGGCAAAAAAGTCCTTAGTTAATTAATTTTCATGATAAAGACAGCTTTATGCCTCAAAGTATTTTTCTGAGGTCTGTCTTATCAGGTAAATTACTGTACACAGTGTATTTATTAATTTTCATTTTCATGTAGTAAAGGGTCTATGCCTTCATAAAGGACGTACTTTTCCTTTGTTTAAGGGTATTTGGGCAGTTTATTCTCTGTTGTATTCTCAAGCAAACAATACATACAAGTACAGTACAGTATTTTCTGAGGAAACACTCATACTTATTTTTTTTTAACCCCATTCCCGATAACCCGGCATTTTCACAAACTCGGCCACCCTTCAGTCCACATTAGGCCAAGTTTTCAAGACTCTACTATATTAATTTTTGTAACTGATTATATTTCTTTACAATAGATCACTTACTTTTCTACCATAAAAACTATTACATAAGTTCTTTGAGTATCAAATGAAACTTAGTGAAACAGTAAGAATTTGCAGAAATTTATTTACTAAATGAGAAAGTTATTATATTTACAGATTTCAACTGTTTCCTTCTATTAAGACAGAGCGTTAAGTGTTTCTTAAAGTTACAAAGCAATCAGCAATTGTGTTTATTGTTCTTTTTGCCTTATGAGAAGCATCCTAATTTTCAGATAAATTTTAGGTACAAAAGTGCATCTTGTAAGAAGAAAAATATGGTAATTTCAAATAAATTCCAATTATAATCTAGATAGCTTAATGTGTTACTCTTCCTGTTTTATATAAGAAAATGCCAGTTGCAAATATCAAAAAATAACGATTTCTTCTTTCCAGAAAAATGTTCATTAATAAAACAAATGTTTTGATTACCTCAAGTCTACCATCAACCCTACTAAAAAGACTCCAAAATAGAACTTTTTTATATTAGGGTTGATGGATTTATAGGCCTATCTGAGTTAGGCCTATAAATTAGGCCAAAGTTTGTTTTGTTTCATTAAAATAAACATTTTGCTGTAAAGATAAAAAAAGGTTATATTTTGATATTTCCAGTTTTATCCCATAACAAAAAATACATAAGCGGTACATAGAAGTGTACAAATGGGAAGTTCCATATAAAGAACTATTTTTATGAATTAGAATCTTCTAATTTAATGACTACTATCTTACCAAAATAGATCAACAATATTATCTTTTATAAAAGATAAGTTTGTAGACCGATATACTAATCATCAACATAACATCCTCGAAGCCTTTTACGACTGAAGATCATTTTTGTACAACTAAACAACTACGAAATTTATTTTATGTTACTTAGAAAATAAAAACACTCTAAACACTCATTACAGAAAAACATAGCTTTCGTTAATTTAAAAAAAATAGCGAAGCAACTGGCAGAAACCTGTAACAAACAAAGAGTAACTGCATCAAAAGAATTTATTTAGCTAACTTATTCTGAATCACTTAACATTCATACTTCTATTACTAAAACAAACTGTTAGAATGAAGCTGGAACCAAAGACTTCACAAGTATACATTAGAAAGGAAGCAATTCAAATCATCTCAATTATTATTAGTTTAAAAGCTAAATCCATAAGTTATCAGGTACAAGTCTTTAAAAAAATAGTTTGAACTCAACCTATTTATCAGTTTGATTCAAAATCTTATAAGCATTTACGGTTGTTCGATTGGAATTGTTGTAATGTTTGAATGTAGTCAATTTCAAGATGGGTTGGTAAAATCCTGAAAAGTACTTAATCAAATTAAATCTTCCTGACTACTTTAGCAGTTTTCTTTTTCCTTTCTAATATGAAACTGTTATCTTTGCTTATAGACACCATTCAACAATTTATAGGATAATTTGTTAAGAAATAAAAAATTCCCAAAGACAAAAATATAAATTCATGCACCTACAGAATTTCTTTTAGCAAAGAGCTTAATATCAACATAGCATGCGTAAAAGTCCAGGACATTTATCCTATTAACGTCTCTCCTGCATTCCAATACAAAAACAAGCATTATCAGCTTTTGCAAGAACTATAGATATATACTATCAGAGCCATCAAGAAGAAAAGCTGAGGATTTTTCCTCGGGCTCAGAGAAAACTTAGGAATTCTATCTGTGTAAATTAATGTATTTTTAAATACTTTTAAATGACACTTGCTTTATATCATCTTCAAATCTTGCAACTCAAATTTTATCCACTTCTAATTAATATACGTATGTTCCAGTCTTCTAAATCCAATGCATTCGTGATGTTTTAGGAGGTACAGGGATGGAAAAGTGGGATGATACCTCCACCATACTACCCACTCCAAAATGTGATTAAATTCTAACTTTGGTTTTGTTCATCACAATGTGTACGCGTAAATACACTATAATGATGTGTATGTGGGATTGATCACGGCCTCACCGTCCCACCACCTTTACTAAAATCTTTAAAGTTACTTTTTATTAATAAAAGAAACATTCTATGTATTTCATTTATTTAAAAAGAAACGGCAAAAGGGACCTGCTATAAAATTAAAGGGTCCGCCTCTGTCCTCCTGACCCCATATGTGTTATTGATGGTTATGTATACTACTGATCAGAATAAGACTAGAACAGACAATTGAAATTTTAAATCCTATGCTAGACTATGTGAAATCTCCAAGCATAAATCTTTAAAATATCATAACACAGACTTAGACAATGTTAAAAATGTAAGATTCATTCTCGAGTTTTATAATCGAAGGCTTGTTTTTATTTAAAACTTTCTGCTAGATTACAAAGCTATTCTGTTATAAATCGATTATTATTTTTTATTAATTGCATAAAATCCTAATAATGAAGTTTACGTAAACATCAGCTTGTTAAATCTAAAATGCTCGGCCTTAGCTATAAACATTTATTAATACATTTGCATTATTTTTTTTCATATCAGTTGAATAATCTCTTTTTCAAAGTTTAAGAAACTTATGAAACTTTATATATTACATATCAGGTCTTTATATGTGGTAATAATATATATTTCATTGATATATTAAAATATTGTATAACTGGGTCAAAATTGCCCAATGGCCTGTTAACCAGGTCAAAAACAGCGCTGTTTATTAAAAATACCACTATTAAAGGTGCCTTAAGTAATTTAAGTGAATATTTTTTAAATCATCGCACCACATATGTATATAATACAACTTTTAATATAACGTAGATGCTAAAAATTCATTCAGAAGAATTTATTTTTACTGTTAAAATCAATTTTCTTAGCCCTTTCACCATTTTTATTTACACAATCATCAGAAATTATAACTCTTATTTTATGAGAATTATGGCAAATGTAACTTCTAGAAAACAGTGAAATATATATTATGGCTTTATCATCAATAGTAAAACAGTTTAAACTGTTTTAAACTGAGTTTCAGTCATTATTTAAATAATACGGAAGTAAAAAGATAACACAAGGTAACAAATTTTTTTTCTGCCTAAACTTCAGACTAATTTTCTTTTTAACTGTTACGGTAAATCAGTAACTGTTTCTTCGAGTAAATTGCTTATTAATTTGAACTCTCGGTTATCCGGCAAACACACTTGCTCTGCACTTCCGTTTCCACAAAACTGTTACTCGCGTCTCGTTTTCTACAGGATTTCGTTTCCACGCACGGCAATGCCCACCCGGATCCAAAATGAATCGGCACCGAAGGGCAACGGGTTACGTCACTAGTCGCGCTTAGGCCCTTACACACGCGGTAATCCGGCATCCCTCCATGCAAGGAATAGTCAGATCGGCAAGAGTCCGGCATCTATATCATACATTAAAAGATTTGATAAAATTGTGTATATTAACTCCATAAAGTATTTAGAAAATAACTTTCATAAAATGATTTATTTATAAAAAGTAAACCACATTCTAAATATAGAAATTCATTTTTGGCACTTTTCATGTTTTGATAAGAAACTAGAACAAAATTTCTTCAATATAAAACTAAAAGAATCAAGCGTCGAAAATAATCAACATTTGGCATTTCGATTCCTTACGAAGACAACAGTTTAACGATTTGCGTTCTACGTCGACTAATTTATTTCGAGTACATCATCGCTCCTAATACAGATCAAATCAAATATAATAAATCTTGCCATAAGCATAGCATCGTATTTTTAATCTCTAATTCTCCCCGTTGTTTTTAATCCGAAAAATTACCAGTTTATATGTTAAATACAAAAACGACCATTCCCATATCAATTCGAGTTATCGTTAGCCTACATTTAATCAGTCTACGCAGAAACCAATTCCTGCCGATCCGACTGTTCCTTGCACGGAGGGATACAAACAACAACAGCAAGTAGCCTAAGTTTTGACCCCATTATTCTTTTGTTTCTTTTAATCATACAGGCAAGCTAAACAATGCAGAAATCAAATTTTATAAATTGTCATCGGTTATTTTACTACCGGTAGTATTAAAAATACGGAACGGGATCCCATTCCAAGTTTAAAAAGATATACAGACAGAATCCTTAATTCAAACAGACAGAAGCCATACTAAGAAGGATTTTATACAGATAATTTTCTGGAAGATTAAGTTCCTCCTGTCTTTTCCTCGTGGTAAAGGTTAAATACAAAATGTCGCAAACTATTATTGTATTAGAAAAATTGATAGCAACGTTGCATTGTGTTAGGGATTGCAAATTTTGTATTTAATAACTAGTGACAATACGCAGACTGAAAGTAACATTTGGATATCTTATCTGTAGTAAATTTAGACTTCGAACATCTGATTGAAATTATAAATATTTTTAAAGTAAATCATTTAATCGACGACATATTGCTACGATTTCCATTTGAGATAATCGATTATCGACGAATACCGTACGTTCTTCCCCACTCGCGTCATTTCCTATTGGAGCATCTTCCCCCCTTCCTTTATAGCTGGCTCTATGCCCACGATTTCTTTCTATTTACGATTTATTTTTTCAAAATATTCGATAATGTCCACCCTTAAAAATGAATGTCTTCGTAGTGTTTGCTAGTTAACGTATTTTAATATTATCGGGATTTGTAAAAGACATAATTGTTAAGTGTTGGCGGAAACAGTCCGTCGTCCATACACCCCCGTTAAAAGCTCGGCGGTTAGGCAAAACAAAACAAATCTTGACGATGGTTTTGATTCGTCATACACTTACTCATCGTACATAAATATGTATTTTTAAACAATATCGGATCCAGAAATCTTTTGAGGGGTGCAGAAAGGAAACGAAATTTGAAGATGTCCGAGTTCACTGGAGAGAAAAATCCTGGGAAGGGTGCAGCGCATCCCCCAAAACCGCCTTTTCTTTTAAACTATATACAATGTTGTTATTTTAATAAAAGGGCTATTATTTTATTCAGAAACTTTGAATTAACAGTGTACTCGGGTGCGTTGCCTTCAATATTATCTTATTTGTCTGTATTTAACGGGAAAACGATTAAACGTATAACAATACGCTTTTGTTTTTGTAAATAAACTAAGTATAAATGCAGGTTTCTACTGTAAAAGTGTTTCTAAATTCCTCGCTTAACTGTTAACAGGCGGTTAAGAACTTATCTCAATAATATATTTACAGTGGGGAAGTCCCTAAATCTTTGATGAAACTAACTTGTATGTATGTATGTATGTATGTATGTATGTGCGTGCAGAGCCGATAAAAGGGAATGGATAATGGGATAAAATTCTCCGGGCCCAGGATTAATTTAAACGGAATCCGGGCATCATCCCACAATTTATTTTTACGCGCTATTGTAATAACTATTGTTCTTGATTCTGTAAAAAAGTAATAGACTCTACCCTATAAAGTAATAGCCTGTAGACTACATAAAAAAACTGGAAATTTGTGTGTAGTGTATGTAATGTGCGTGTGTGTGTGTAATTCTACGTTATATATCGGGTTTGGGGCTGGGACCGGAACGTCCCCAAAATAATCTTAAAATGCCTGGTATCTCGATTAGAAGTGGACGAAATTCGAGCGACCAGTTGGAGGACACCATATAAAAGCAAGTTAAATAAGTAAACGCGTTTAAAAACAATTAATTTCTGGTTATAAATAAAGTCGAAAGAGAAGAGCGAATTAATGAAATTAAATAAATACTTTAAATAATGTTTTTAGTAAGGTAACGGCATTTAAGTAAAAGACGGGAACGGTCTACGATTTTCTAAGAAACAGCGCAATCATTTCGGTAATGCCAGGGACCACCGATAATGGACAGCGGAGGAAAAACGATAAAAAAGCCGATAAAAACGCATTAAGTAATTTTATAGAGAATGACAAATCTCTATAATCTTTTGTAACGCCATTTTGTAACTTCCGCACGCCGAATAACAGAATAATCTCCGCTTATTTTGCATCAACTGTTAATGTACGAAAAGCAGACGCTGGTGTGTTTTACCACATTCAAGGCCGCTAAAATAAGGAATAAATATTAAGTCCCGATGGCTTTTGTTCTAATTAATTTGGTCCTTCGACGGATCCCAATTTGTCTTCCGTATACAGTACATTACGCCGAGGAGGTTAGTCGACCGCGTGTCAATTATCCCCCCCCGATAGAGTGAAAGGAAGGAGACTGACCTCTTCTGAACACCAGGCGCACTCGGGATCGGCTGTGATGCACTTTCCGCAGGTGTCTCGACTGACGCAGGGATTGCCGCTCAAGTTCTCCGCCACTGAAAAGGAAAGGAGGAATCGGTGAAGGGAAAAAAATATGGGACGTCCGACGGATGCAGAAGGATACTCACATTGGCACAGGGCGATTCCCACGGAGGAAAGTAGCAAAGGTATAAGTAGTGGCTTCATGTCGGACGGTCTGAAAATAAATCGCGTCCTTTAGACAAATTCTCTATCCCTTACGCCGCGCTACCCGAACCTCGTCCTATTTTCTCTAGAAAGGGTAAAGGGTAGAAGGTCCGCATCCCCTATCTGGAAACGGTCCCCGCTTCCGACAGGACGGAGAAAGTGGAGAAAGTGGTTCTACCGCTGCCTTCGTAAGCGGCGGTAAAAATTCTCTGGCCCTCCCTCCCTCCCTCCCGGCCTTATTTGTTTACGGAAGGTCGAAGCGCGGAGAAAAACACTCCCGGAGCGCCCACTCATTTTCTCCGACCTTCCACCCGAAACAACGGACTGTTTGGTCGCCTACGTTTGTCCTAAAACGTCCCTTTCGACCTTATCGGACCCCTGGCCGGACGTCTCTTTCCGGGGAATTTTAAAAGGATTCCCCAAAAATTGGTGGCTGGAGGTGAATGCGTTTTGTCCCTTTCTCCCCCACCCCCGACCACGCGTAGGCTCGGAAGGTCGACTTTGGTATTTGCCAATCCTCTGGGCCGACCACTCCGGCTACCAGTACTTCTGTACCGGGTCGGAGACCTTCCTTTTTTCCTCCCTCCCCGCGCGGTCACCCACGTTTCCGTAAAGTATCCCCCCTTACCCCGTTAAGCAGTGGTCACACCTAACACTTTAGAGTACAGCCGTCTCGACTCCGCACCAAACCACTCCGCTTCTTAAATTAGACCCATTTGGCTCGTCTCGGGAACCTCGTTCGGGCACGTGACCCACCGAATCCACCAAAACAAATCGGCGCCCCTCCGCTTCTTCCGTTTCTCCGCCTCCGGCCATCGACTTCCGGTCGGTACCCACCGAGGAAGGTCGAAGGACGAAGAAGGACGGAGAGGTCTCGGACTCCCCCCTCGAGGGTCGACTCCGGACACCAGCGAAAGGAGGGGGCCGCGCTTCCCCTTCGTCGACCGACTTTCTTTACCGTTAACGCCATCGTCGCCTAATTTTCGGTCGGGAGGGGGAAAAAAACTCTTTCTTCGGACGATTTTCGGTCCGGAAAACTTTTTCCTTCCCGTTCCACTCGTCTCGACCCCCGGACGGTCCTCCCGTCGCCCGCTAGAAGAACAGACGTCGCCACTGGCCCCGTCTTCCCGACGTCCCCCTTCTCCCCCTTCCCTACGCGGATTTTAATTACGGTAGGAAGACACCGAAGATACTCGCCTGTTATTGTGTCGTCGCGGGTCCCCGAAAGACGATGTCCGCTCTTAATCCCAGGGAGAAAACAAAGAGAACCACCCGCCGCCCAGACTTACTACTGACTATTTAAGGGAAGCCAGTCACTCGGTCGGTGACGTCACCGGAAACGCCTAAGCGTCGATACGTCATCGGCCGAGAACGGATTCCTTCTTTTCCCGGAATCGGGTCGTTACTATCTCTTCCTTTATTAATAATATTTCCGAAACAGAACTATTCCTTTCCGACGGCCAAATGACATCGCTCGTGTTCGTTTGACGACGAGTATACAGACGAACGTTTCTTTCGTCTGTCAACTTTAACCGTCTTGGTCAATCGCTCCGAGAAGCGCCAGTCAAATAAACCGTGCTTAATTTACCCGCTTATTTCTTTAATCTCACGACGTTTGTATCCGTATCTATTTTAATCTTTAATAATTTGTAGATAATGGCGGATGATAAATCGACCGTAAGATTGGAAGAATTTTACTAATTTCTCCACCAGGGGGCCGAAAACGGAGAGCCTAGAGCGCGTTCGAGAACGGTTTCCGAACGGATTGGAAGCGGCGTAAACGACCAGATCGCGTTCGAAAACGTTTTTCTTATTAAATTTTACCAAGTATGATAATAATAATAATAATAAAATAGACTATTACGGAAAACTGAATTTTGCTTCTTAGCTCTTCAGAGCTATTTAAAAAATGAAAATTTTCATTTTTTAAATATCATAGTATTTATGCGAAATAAAAATTAAATATTTATAAATATAACATAATATTTATTTCACCGCGAGATGGCCGAGCGGTTAAGGTGACGGTCTACCATTCTCGGGGTTCCGGAATCGCATCCCGGAAGCATTATTGTATATTAAAGCTGATGTAATACGTTAATAAATACGTAGAAAAGACTAAAATGTTTTGATTTTCGCCACAGTCTTTTCCGAGTACTTTTTAATGTGTAAATTCGTCAGCCATTTTTTGAAAGAAATGATATATGACTCGTGGGACAGAACCGACGTGCAGGTAAGCACGCTTCCCACCAGATGGTCGAAACTTGAGAATTAACCGCCCCGGCCATCCGGAATCGTTGTCCACGTTGGACTTAGTATATTAATAGGATTTATAATACAGTAGATTTCCCTATAACACGGGTTCATATAATACGGATTCGTATCTACCGTGTTATAGGGGGTCTACTGTACTAGTGTTTTGTCTTATCGTCTTATCGATTTACTTATCGTCGGTAACCAAAGGCGAGTTTTTAACGGTATTTTACGATATTAAAAGTTAAATTTGAAGGTAATGGGTTAGGGATTGCTTTCGTTAGGACAATACGGATACATCTCGCGATAAAAATAAAAACGAGGAGTCGCCTTCTTCCAATAACACCAATACCAAGAAGAGGACCAGGTAGTGTAGGTTATCGTCGTGAGCACTTCCGGTGGCACCATTGTTTGGGGGAGTGGATCCGAGAAAAAGTGCATAAATAATTTTATTTATCCAATTAGATTTTACAAGAAATCTTCCAGAAAAATCGGGAGCGAAACGGTAGCAGATAGTAAGAACGTCTTCGGAGAGTGACGCCTGGTCTTTCTTTAATTAATTCTCGGTTCCTTCTGGACTCGTTTCCTGATCCGACGAAACTTCCGGAAGTCGGAGGCGGCTCAGGTGGCGTCGCCGAAGGCGGGATTGTGGAAGGTGGAGGTGGCTTCTTTATACAGAGGATTTTTCTCCTGCAAAATAAAATAGCGGCGGTGGAGTCTAAAGAAGGAAAAGAGAAAGTTTTGCGAGTGAAAGAGGAGAATTTACTTACTTCGTTCCACTTTTTGTCTTGGATCTCTTTTAGGAACTTGGCGTATTCCCTGGAGTCGTGGACGGTGGTGATCAACTTCCAGATCAGCAGAGCCGCCAGTCCCAGCCCCGCGATGGCTCCCGCCACTCCCAGTCCTATGGCCAGAGCGTTCACCGGCTTGGGACATTCTGTCGAAACAATCACACTTTATTATTATTATAGACCGACTTACGGGTTCCAGTCGCGCGCCCACAAAACGCTCTTTATTCTCGTTCCGACGTCACCTTACCAAATAATCGGTCAACCCGCGGGGTCGATGCCGGAAAACTTCCGTTCCGGCCGACGATTACTTCTCGCAATTCTTTAAATTGAAGCGTATATTTATTTATCTGTTGCGAATTTCTAACCCCGTCACGCTGATAGAAACGTAGAGGACACCCGTAAACGATAACGGTGTCTCCTACCGCAATTTCGTCCCCCTTCTTTTCTTCCCTCGGCTTTCTTTAGTCGCGGATTAACTTCGTACGGTTATACTCCTTACCCTAGTTTGGAAGGCACGTCGCCAGCTTATTTCCCCAATTTTACATTCGCCAATACGGTGGGCAGACCATGGAGCTATACTACTAGAGCGGCAGTCCCTAGAATCAACTGAAGCCAGTATAATGGTCGCGCAGGGCGGGAGAGGCCATCTCCACAACCCAACTGGAGCGATGCCGTTCCAGTTAGATCTTATAGCTCCATGGGGCAGACAGAATGCCGATAGACGGGGCGGTATGAATAAACAAAAAGTACCTTTTCGTTTTTTAACCTTAACCACGGGCGAGTCGTTCTGCAACTCGTAGAAGAAAAAATATCTGCATCCGATCTCGTCGTCGAAAGCGCATTCGTGGCTCGACGACACGTCTTCTATCGGTGGGGGGAAATAAATAATTTAATAATCTCATACGGGCGGTAGAATATCGTTAAGAAATACATATATATATACCTCCGTCCTTCAGCTCCCTGTATATTCCGGTGCAGTTGGCGCACTCGTTCTCTTCCAGAGGACCGGAAGCGAAGATCTTGCACTGGACGCAGGGTCCGTATGCTTGGCAACTTCCGGGACAGATCTACGGGAAGAAAAGTTCTCGAGTCACTCGATCGTCGTCTACGTCGTTTTAAATGGGGAGGAAGGACTCACCAGACACTGCTGACAGTAAGCTCCGTCGTAACGTTCCGTTTTGCTCTCTTTGCACTTGCATGAGCCGCAGGTACAGTCCCCTCGATCGTTACAAACTTTCTGCCAAGAGAAACCTTTCCGTTAAGGCTGACGCGAAGAAAAACGCGGATTTACACCAAATCACTCTTAAGCTACGCGCGAAACGATCCGTGCCTCGTCTTTCCAACAGTGGACCTGCGGAAAGCACCAGGTAGGACCAGCACTTCCCTGCACTTCCCTGTTAGGACCAGCGGTTAACTGTTTACTTTTGACTATCTCGCGACATAGTTGCTACGTATTCTACCGGTATGGGAAAAGAATAATTGTAATAAAATATAATTGTATTCCGAAATCGCTATCACCCGCTACCAATTCGCGCCAGGTCTTAGAACTCGTCAGCGTTTCAATGGAAGAGGAAGAAGTAACTTACCTTGGTGACGGGATCCAAACAGGTGTCGACGGAATCTCGACAGTCGCAGACGTCGCCTTTCCATCCGGGCATACACACGCAACGCCCGCATTCGCATTTTCCCCTGTCCGGTCCTGGTGTTTCGTCCACCCAAGAAAGAAAAGAATATTTTAAGGCACGATACGAAAATTGGGCGATTTTAATATTACGCGAATCGATGCCGTCGCGATGGGTGGTAGAGTATAGTGTTTAGTGACCCCACCATTGTCGGTTGACAGCGCATTTCCGTCCGGAATATCTAGTGTTTAAAAGAACAGATAATTACCTCCGCACAGAAGGTTGTCGCGCCGATCGCAAGAAAAGTTGTCGCATTCGCAATACTTTCCGCTTACTTTCTCCTCGGGATCCTAACAAAATACGAAAAAAGTCTTTTTATTAGAGACGTCTGGAAGTCCAACAGCGAAGAGTTTCACCGGAAGAGTCCGAATTCGATTTTCTTTCGAAGCCAAAGAAAAGTTTTTACTCACCGTTCTCATTTCACACTGGCACTTTCCGCAGAAGCACTTTCCCCTTCCGGAACACACCACCGTGTCGTTGCCTCTAAAGAAACACAAGACGTGTCACTGGCACGCGACGATAAAGTAGTCTTTAAGTTGGGGTGGATGGGAAGAGTCTGAATGGTTCTCGTCCCATTCGTGGCGACTATCTTTACGATTACGTTTAGCTTGACCTAATGCCGGATTCACACTAGAAGTACCCGAACCGATTTTGGCGGCCGAACCGGCGTAAACACACATAACAGTACGAAGACTCCCGCACGACGGTACCAGAGTACCAAACACCGTATATCGATGTCCGTCTAATACAGGGAACCTTACTTGTCAGGTACAGAACAGTTTATTTAAACCTCTTTCCTCCCAGTGGCACTAAGAGGGCCTATTTTAGCCGCCCCAATGCGGGCTCGGCCAGGCCCACCGCGGGGCCTCCGGATGGCGGGGACGGGGTCCGAAATATCCGAGGCATACCACTCCCGAAAAGTTCCCGGAATCCCCTAGAGCGGTAGGCCGCCACGTCGACCATTCCGTCGTCGAATAGTCAGAATCGACGAGTATTCCAGTTGTAAATCGAGTCGAAAATTCGGTAATAATTAAAAATGGAACGGACCGAAAGCGGAAACACTCACCCGAAACACCTGGTGGTATCCATCTGGTCGTACCCTTCGGTACCGTCTCCAGAACATTCGCACTTCTCTCCGTATCTGCCGGGATCGCAGTTGCAGATACCGCACTCGAAAGTACCGTTTCCGGAACACTTGGGACTCTTCCTCTCCTGCCACCAAAAAAGGATTAAGAATAATGGAGGTTGAAAGATGGACGCCAGAAAATGACGATGTCATGGTAAAATTTATTCGTTTAGAGGCGGAAAATTCCGGAAAGGCGGACGGAATAAGAAAAGAACTCACCTCCTTATCGTGTTCTTCGCACTGGCATTCGCAGATCATCCGCACTTTGACCTTTACCGCTTCGTTCAGGTGTGTGGGAAATATCTCGAAGACGCGATTCCAGTCTCTGGCATTTTCCGGGCACGACGTCAACTCGATCCTGGCCACGAAAGTCACCTGTCGTGGATCGTTCGATCAGTCCGAGAGGTGAGCCACCGAGGACACCGACAAACCGGGTCCTCCAGTTACAAGTTAGTGTTAGAAATAGTAGGTGTTTGCAATTTTGTGTACGTTTAGTACTTGGCTTAAGCTAACTGGATTCAAATAAATTGCATTTCGATTGATTTAGTTTTTATTTGAAATAATGCCTTTTGTGCAGTGTTCCGAGTGAGAATGAGAGGTGAAAAGTGAAAAATTTGTATGCTATCATTATTTATATTATATGGTGTGTTCCCCTAAAACGTCACTAGTTTTAAACTGTTTTGTAAAATCCATTTGTTCGGCTATGTGGATAAATTGTGTCCATACTCCAAGTTTCACGTGTTGAAAGAGTCACTGCTGAAGCAAAATGCGATCTGGATCTCCACTTCCGTAGCTGGCTCTTATTTCTCGGTTTGCCCAATATCCGACATTGTTTCTTTATATTTTTTCTTTGTGGGCATGTCAAAGATAGCGTATATGCTACAAAAATGCCAGACACTAAAGCCCAAGAATTGCGGATGCCATTAACAACACGGTGGCCCTTTCAAGCGTGTGGGCGCGAAACTTGGAGTATCGACCAACATTCTTCGACACATTTTATTCAAATAGCTGAACAAATGGATTTTAAACGAATTACGAACAATCGAGAGGAACACTCTGCATTATCTTTAAAAACCAATCGACGTCTATTGTCATTTGCAGGTACAGTACAGTACAGTACAATAAGGAGACAAATATGAGTTGCACAAAGGTATACGAGTAGAGTTCTAAACGTCAAAAAACAGCCACGGTTTATAGAACATTCACTGTGTAATTCACTGCAGTTTTAGCCATAATCTACCACAAAACTGTGTCTGTTTTTGGAACCATAGAACTCTACTCGTACATCCCTTGCAACTCGTAGTTTACTCCTTACTGTATTTACACGTGGCAATGGACGTCGATTGGTTTTTGTCAACAAATCGAACACTACACCATTTTTCATTCGGGCACTGCTAGGGAGGCGCAGCCAATCTATCGGTCCATCGTCGCATACTCTGACGTTCTCGGTGGCCACGACCCGGTAAACTTCCGAATTCGGGAATTAAATTTCCGAAGAGACTTTCGAAAAAGTCCCTTCCGTAAATTAATTCACGACTGTCCCATACGTATTCACATTTTGGCAGAAAAACTTACGCTTCCTCCCACGGGGATGTTTTCGCACGAGTCCGTTTGCTTCTTCGTCTTCCTGTAAATTACATTTATATTAGTCACTTCGACAATAATAATAATATACAGTATATACATTGAGACCATTGTAAAACCTCGCCAATTTCGCCCCCCGATACCAAAACAGAGGGGAGAACTAGGAAACAACCAACGAGTTCCGGGGGGTAACGCGCTAACTCTGTTAGAAAGAGAATGACTCTTACCCCAGACAGGAGGAGAAATAAGTGATTTTGATGGGATCGGCGGAATCGTCCCTGATCTTCACCGACGATCTTATTTTCTGTAAAGAAATCGTTCAGGTGTGAAAGAAACCAACTGCTATTGTTTGCGAGATGTGGAGCGCGTACTCACGTCGTATTGATCGCGGATGAGTTGGACCACGTTGGAGGAGTCGTCCTCCAGAACTCCCACGGTGGCCGATTCTAACTCCCGCGCCAAGTCTTCGTAGACGTCATTCTGATCTCTGGTGACGGCGAAGATGACGTTGATCTTGTTGTCCCGCAGAAGATTCCTGATCTGGCTGACCGAAGGGTAGTCCTGAGTCAGACTTTCGGTGTAATTGCCCCGATCATCCAGGTGACAGTTTCCGTCGTTGGGTTTGACGATTCCAGCCAGCTGCAACAGATCGGAAACCGGATTGCAGTTTGTTAAACTCGGCGCAATTTCCGTAAATTTTCCAACTGAAATTACACTTTACAGACAATAACAGCTAGTAACAGATTACCTTTCCGTCTCCCGCGAAGTGGTATCCGGCGTCGGTAGAAAACACCAGTAGTTTGGTGGAATTTTCCCCCCATTTGATCTTGTCCTGCGGGTGAAATAAAAAGGAAAATTGAGGCAAAAGGGGTTAAGAAATTGAAAGTGTACACTCACCTTGCAAGAGACCGCTTGCACCAGAGCGTCCAAACCTCCTTCGGGGGCGTCGTAGTTACCCGAAATCTGAGAATTTTGCACTTCCGTTTTAAACCTGCCCGTGTTCCGACTCAGGGGCAAGTAATTTCGGAATCCGTAGGGAAAGGCGTAGTCTATTTTCCTACAAAAAGGTTTTTATATTGTTATATAAGTTCGTATATAAGTAAAGTATACAAGGTCTGTTCAAAAAGTATCGGACCTTTTTTTTTCCGCGTAAACCAATGATGCGCGACAGGCCTCCTTCGGTGGAGTTGTGGAGGGGACAGTCATGCACAATCCTGAATTTTTTCCCGCCTGCAGGAAGCGTCAGTCGTTGGCAATCGGCCTATGAGTGAGGTCATGTAGTGCGCTCTCGTCGGATTTCACTAAGCTGGAAAATGACTGAACAACGTGAGCAGCAATATTACATCAAATTTTGCCAAAAACCTTGGCGATACCCGAGCGTAAACCATTCGCAAGATTCAGCAGGCTTTCGGGGACGATCCTCGAGGCCAAAAAAAGCGCGGCAGGTCCGCAGCAATGTCAAAGGTCATGTTGACAGTTTTTTCGACTTTCGTGGGGTGGTGTGTCGTGAGTACGCACCACAAGGCCAAACCATCGCAAAGGAGTACTACCAGGAGGTCCTTCGTCGTCTTTCCGATGCTGTGCGACGCAAACGATCGGATCTGTGGTCGATCAAAACTTGGCAACTCCATCGTGATAACGCATCCGCCCATTCTGCGCATCTGATTCGGGCTTTCGTCGCCAAACATAACACTCCTGTGGTTCGTCACACTCCGTACTCTCCCCATATGGCTCCATGTGACCTTTGGCTATTTCCCAAGCTGAAAATGCCGCTAAAAGGAACCCGAATTTAGTCGAGAGAAGACATCGTGCAAAATCCGACGGAGCGGCTGATGTCCATTCTAAAAGATGCGTTCCAGCAGTGTTTCCAGCAATGGCAGGAACGCTGGGAGAAGTATATACATTACCAAGGAGACTACTTTGAAGGGGATTAGGGTTTTGTACCTCAAAGTCAATAAATTTATTTTTACCGACCAAAGGTCCGATACTTTTTGAACAGACCTTGTAGTTATTCGATGCCTTCTACCCCTAAGGTTTTTAACATTCGACCTCGACTTTTATCTATCTAACTCCATTCTCTAGATTAAGGAAGGACAGACAGAAACACTCACTGGTTGGGAATAATGTTGACGAAGGGCAACGTCACTTTCTCAACAAAGGCGCCGAATCCCAGTTGAAATTTCTTAGTGATGGTCTTCATTTCCCTGGCCAATTTATCTCCCAGGTTCACCAACTTCTCTTTGTCGTCCTTCATGGAATACGACAGATCCATCAGATAGTACAGATCCACCGGATAGTTTTCCGCCTGTTTGTACTGTATCCACAGTTCGTACGGATCGTCTAAAAGAAAAATAGTTTCTTCTCTTATAGTCCGAATCCTCTTTCGTAGTATAATACAGTACGTTCTCGACCCCATCTGGAATAGAGAACCGAAGACTTACTGGGTTTGAGTTCCAGCAGTACTTCTTGAGGCTTGACTTGAACGACGTTCTCCTCTAACTCGGCATCGCTGTTTAGTGCCCGATTCTGAAACACAAACGTAAAGAGGAATGCTTCGAAAGAAAAATACGCAAAAAGTGAAGAAAACTTACTTTTGTCGTCGTGCGATTGTTTGTGACGTGAAAGTAATGTTCGCAGGTCTTCATCGCCTCGAACAAGTCGCAGTGTTCTCCTTTCTCTTTCTGAAAATACCGAATCGACGTCGTTGTCATTCGTAAGAACTAAGATTGAAACCGAAAAGAATTGTTTCCCCCCCTGTACTTACCGGTTCCAAGCACCAGGCGCATCGGGGATGAGCCCGAATGCACTGACTGCAAGTCTCTCTACCTTTACATATATTGTCGGATGCCGCCGAAACTTGGGATTAACAAAAAAATTAAACCAAATTTCCGCTATATCGAGAGGTATAAATTAAACACTTACTTATAGAAATCGACACCAGAGTCCACCCCCAGACGGTGGACGAATACACCGACGTCTTCATCTCCTAATCTCTTACAAACGTTCCCTAAAAAACAACGTTTTAAAAAATCCAGTGACGGAAGAAGAATACCGGAAGTAAAGAGAAGGATGACGTAATAATCGCGCTGGCATCGTTACTAACGCGATTACAGTTTATCAAAGTGTATACTGTATACAAGTCGACCCCCTATAACACTGTTGATTATTCCGTTTTATATGAATTCCATGTTGTACGAATCACTTAGATTTTACAAATACGTGTGCTGGGCTGTGAACGGCTCACGTATTTGTAAAATTTAAGTGACTCGTACAACATGGAATTCATATAAAACGGAATAATCAACAGTGTTATAGGGGGGTCGACTGGGAAGAGTTTCCTTTCGAGGTGGTTATTTCGAAGTTGTGTAACGAAGGAGAAAAAAAAACGTCGATACTCACCTAAACAGAAACTTTCTATCTGAGCGAAACAGAGACGGAAGGAAGAGTCGCGCGCGCGTTTCCGCTTCGCCCAGATGACGAAACGTTTCCGCTTCCGTTCCCTAACGGCGATTCCGAGTAACCTTTCAAACGAACTCGAATATTTATCTACCTTCGCTCCTCCAACGAATTTCCGTTTTCGAACCCGAACCGAATCGGAGCTTATCCGATTTTGCACGTGCGTGGAAAGAAACAGCTCGAAATTTTCCATCACCCGAAATTCGCCAACGAAGACGGTCTCTCGTTCCGTTATTAAGCTCCAAAGTGGGTGAACGAAATAGCGCCCCCATAAATAACTCGAAAAAAAAAATTCGAATTTTTTAATTTTTCGAGATTTCCCGAGTCCAAAAATGTAAAAAATTTCGGGTTGTCATTTGTTGAATATTTTTTAATAGAAAATTCGTTCGTTCGCCCCCTGCAAAAATCTAATAAAATCGTTAGTATTTTTTTTTTTTCGTTGGTCAAAAATAATGAGCCATTTTTTGACGCGAGGCGGCGCCGAAGCGGACGCGTCGATCGTCTGCGCGCGATGTCAAAGGTAACGAAAAGTTAATTTTTCATTGGATAAAAATGAATCACGTGTTAATATTTAAAAATCTTGATCGGATAAGTCTTAAAAATTTAACCGAATCATTTTAAATTCCAGACGTTTATTGAAGTATAAATTTAGAAAATTACAAGAGAAATATTTAAAATATTATTTTTAAAAATGGCGCGCGCCCTACGTTGCCTCCGTCACGAGGCATCCTTTTGTTTTCTCCGAGTTACTACAATGTTTTTATGCCCGTTTTATATAAGTAAAGCGTATTTTCTTCCCGAAAACCTATGGCCTGGTTATATTATAACCTGGCCCACGTTACACACGCCAAGTCCCACGCGGTAATTTAATTAATAAGTACTGTACCTTTTCGGTAGAGACGAAAAAGTAGCATAATATCCCCAATGGACTATATATAACACAGAAGAACGTTACTACTTACTGTGTGTAGTTTACCGGTAATAAATAGAAATTCCTTGGCTTTGTGTTACGTTCAAAATACAGAAATAAAGGACGAGGTGGTGGTTTCGACCGGTAATCTCGCAACGTAAGGGTCGAAGGTGACGACTGAGTTAGGAATTTTTGTCGACTTGCAAAAATTCGTGCTAAGTAATTTTAAAATTGTGCAAGTTGGAACCGATTGGTCAGAAAAATAATCGAAACAGACGGCGATTTTAACACTAGAAAACGTCACCACTCGTGATAAAAGTAGCTTATAGGGTAATAGAAAGTAAGTTCTAACGGTTAAATAGAGGAAATTCCGACTATCCGTAATAGGGGATTACCACGTTCCTCTTAATTAAAAGTAATTTCTTAACGAGAGTGAAAAATTGTATTTACAAAAGGAACAAAACAATACATAATATACCCCCCGGATAAACGAATTTTCTACCATCGTAATTACTTTCGGTCGGTCTATATATACGGGGCGGGTACGGGAGGAATAAGTAAGATAATTACAGTCGACCCCCCCCCCTATAACACTGTTGATAATTTTGTTTTATATGAATTCCGTGTTGTACGAGTCACTTAGATTTTACAAATACGTGAGCCGTTCACAGTCCGGCAAACGAATTTGTAAAATCTAAGTGACTCGTATAACACGGAATTCATATAAAACAAAATTATCAACAGTGTTATAGGGGGGAGTCGACTGTTGTACTGTACTTTTAACACCGAGAGTCGGGAAGTCTTTCTGTTTTCTTCTAATTATATATAAACGCACTTTAGTCGAACTTATTTTCATTGAAATTCAGATGGGAGAATAAATAATTAGCGAAGATTTCTGAATGATGAATTTTATTGAATATCTTATTAAACATTTCGTATTGTAATAAACGGAAGCGACACCGTTCTTCCGCAACGAAGACTCGACGAAGATCCGGTCCAGGCTAAGAATCGTCCTGGAAAGTCGGGTTGTGGAAAGTGGAAGTGGCTCCTACGAACAGGGGATTTTCGTCCTAAAAAAAAAAAAACAATAAAACAACGGTTAATTACACTACGAAACTTGGTTTAATTAAAATATCTCCCTCTTTGCAAAGCAATCGGATAATTATCACCACTCGATAGAGCGAAAGAAAACGAACGTTCGTGTTTCTTACCGTGCTCCACTTTGCATTGTACAGTTCTCTTGTGAATCTAGCAAACTCTCGAGTATCGTGGACGTGAGTGATCAGTTTCCAGGCCAATAGAGCCGCCAGACCTGTACCCAAGATGCCACCCACCAAACCCGACACCACAGGAAAGTAGTCGACGGTTCCGGGACAATCTGATTCCCAAAAATAATTAAAAAAAATAGTCAGAGTTATGGCCGACCCCGTATAAATTCGCGTGCCGGTGTCTCCCATACCTTTAATAGGATTAACGATAATCACGGGCGTATCCTTTTCGTCTAGTCGATAATAGAAGTGGACCCGGCAGTCGTCGTCGTCGACGAACGTGCACTTCTGCATACCTTCCACGCTATCTATTAATTCATACAAAGTGTGTAATTAGTCTCCAACTTTTATTGTTGTTAATTATCGTTACTTTTATTTCCTGGCAGATACGTAGAGTATGGCACACAGTCTGTAATCGTGACGTTTATGGTGTGCGAAAGATACTCACCGTTAGCACGTAAATGTCGATAGAATCCAGTACAGTTATCGCATTCCGGTTGAGTTAGAGGACCTGAATTAAACGTCTTACACCCCACGCAAGAGTCGTACAGACCGCAATTTTCCGGACAGACCTGCGAGAAAATCGACCAATTAAAATGTTTCCTACAATTTAAATCGAATACGTATATAGTTTCTTGCGGAGAAAACAAGTGGAAGTGTTTAATCCACGCGAGAAGGTGGTAAAATTAACAAGGGAAAGTCTATTAGAGAAAGGTAATGAATTTCTAGATACGAACCGAACACATTTGACACCAAGTTCCGTAGTAGTATTCTCTTTCGTTGCGTAGACAGCTACAACTTCCGCATTCGCATACACCGTGATTGTTGCACATCACCTAAATAACGTAGATAAAAAAACCTGCTTCCGTAAGTCTGTATTTTTATTAGAACAAACATGGAACACTTTAAATGGAAACATGGAATAGTGGTCTGAAGAAAAAGTCCCGGAGTGATCGGAGAAGACGTTAAAGGTACAGTACACTTACCCCTGTAACGGGATCCAGGCAGGCTACCACAGAAACCTCACACTGGCAGGAATCTCCCGTCCATTCCGGAAAACACTCGCAAATGCCGCATTGGCAAATCCCGTGACCTGAAACAAAACCACTCTAAATACAGTACGTTGTCTGGTAAGCTCCGTAAGAACAAAGGACAGGAAAGACTTACCTGCGCAGATGGCGTTCTTGTATCTGTTACAGGAATAGTTGTCGCATTCGCAAAAACGTCCCATTATCCTCTCGTTGGGATCCTGAAAAATCCTCTGCGTAAAAATTCAAATACCCAGAGGCAGAGTTTAAAGGAAAAGTATGATGTACTGTATAGTACAGTACGGGGCAAGACACTACTAATTTAATAATAAATAATTCCTCGTTGAAAAGGGTTACTCGTCCGACGATTTGGATAAAGTTTTCTTAATCGTCGGGCTTTCGCTTTCTTATAAATTCGGAGGTGAAAGGTCGAGCGCCGGAAAGGAACCGGAACTAAACCAGACTACTTACGTATCTGGTTTCGCACACGCACTGACCGCAGACGCATACTCCTCTACCGGAACATATGACGTTATTGTGGCTGAAAATACGAAGGAAACGAAAAACATAAATTAAGAAAAAAAGAATGAAGATCAGAGAAGTAAGAGCGTTTTTCCATCGGGGAACTTCTGGAAGCGAAAGATAAGAAGGATTACTTACTTCATACAAGCCGAATCGTTACGGTAAGATCCGTCTTCCGCGTTGCATTCGCATCTCTTTCCGGCTCTACCCGGCCGACACAGACAACTTCCGCACTCCAAAGTACCTTCGCCCGAACACTGCACACTCTCTTCTTCCTAAACGCAAAGAATAACCCGTCATCTCTCTCCCCTCTTCGCCAAATTTATAAAACATCGACCTAAATGTACGAAATTTCAATTGTCGCTTAACGTTCGTAAATGCCACATTTCTCACGCCAAGACACAACTTACTTAACGTTAATCGATCAGAACGTATTACGAGACACTCACCCTGTTCTCACAGTGGCACTCGCACATCATTCTTATGTCAACGGTTAGGGCCTCGTCCACTCCCACAGGAGACACAAGGAACGTCTGGTTCCACAGATTCCTATCCGGTGGACAGGAATCTAGAGTGACTTCCATTTCGAAACTCACCTGAAAAATGGTCGGCGATTATTCCGGAAACGTAGGTAGGTTAGAGGATGGAAAAGGGGCATCTTTCGGATTACTCTTTTATTCTTTGAAACGCCTCTACATACTTACGCCGGTGCCCGGCGGAACGTTTTCGCACTTGTCTCCCCCTCTGAAATACAATTAGTTGACGTTTGTTAATTAATAATAACCGGAGAGAACGGATGAGGAAGAAGTTACGATTCTCACCCGGGGCAAGAAGAGAAGAAGGTGACTTTGACGGGATCCGAGGCGTTGCTGGTCAGTTTCACCGTCGAAGTTATGGCCTGAAGAGTAATAAACGTAAATCGAAAAGCCATCCTCCGAGGGTAGAAAGTCGAAACGAAGGACTCACGTTGTATTGTTCTTGGATCAATTGGACGATGTTGGAGGAATCGTGGCTGAGTTCGGCCACCGTCGACCCCTCCATTCGGGAAGCCAGGGAACTGTAGGCGTCTTCCATCTGCCGTGTGACTGCGAAGATGACGTTGACTCTGCTCTCTCTGGCCGCTCGGACGATCTGGGCCACCGAGGGGTAGTCTCTGTCCGTGCACTCGGAATACTCTCCTTCCTGGTTCAGGCTGCACCGGCCGCTGTTCGGTCGCAGAATCCCCGCTAACTGTTAAAGAGGACGAAGNACTGTTTTGTAAAATCCATTTGTTCGGCTATGTGGATAAATTGTGTCCATACTCCAAGTTTCACGTGTTGAAAGAGTCACTGCTGAAGCAAAATGGCGATCTGGATCTCCACTTCCGTAGCTGGCTCTTATTTCTCGGTTTGCCCAATATCCGACATTGTTTCTTTATATTTTTTCTTTGTGGGCATGTCAAAGATAGCGTATATGCTACAAAAATGCCAGACACTAAAGCCCAAGAATTGCGGATGCCATTAACAACACGGTGGCCCTTTCAAGCGTGTGGGCGCGAAACTTGGAGTATCGACCAACATTCTTCGACACATTTTATTCAAATAGCTGAACAAATGGATTTTAAACGAATTACGAACAATCGAGAGGAACACTCTGCATTATCTTTAAAAACCAATCGACGTCTATTGTCATTTGCAGGTACAGTACAGTACAGTACAATAAGGAGACAAATATGAGTTGCACAAAGGTATACGAGTAGAGTTCTAAACGTCAAAAAACAGCCACGGTTTATAGAACATTCACTGTGTAATTCACTGCAGTTTTAGCCATAATCTACCACAAAACTGTGTCTGTTTTTGGAACCATAGAACTCTACTCGTACATCCCTTGCAACTCGTAGTTTACTCCTTACTGTATTTACACGTGGCAATGGACGTCGATTGGTTTTTGTCAACAAATCGAACACTACACCATTTTTCATTCGGGCACTGCTAGGGAGGCGCCGCCAATCTATCGGTCCATCGTCGCATACTCTGACGTTCTCGGTGGCCACGACCCGGTAAACTTCCGAATTCGGGAATTAAATTTCCGAAGAGACTTTCGAAAAAGTCCCTTCCGGAAATTAATTCACGACTGTCCCATACGTATTCGCATTTGGGCAGAAAAACTTACGCTTCCTCCCACGGGGATGTTTTCGCACGAGTCCGTTTGCTTCTTCGTCTTCCTGTAAATTACATTTATATTAGCCACTTCGACAATAATAATAATAATATACAGTATATATATTTAACGAGCTGCATAAAATCTAATTTTTGAGTTATTGAGACCATTGTAAAACCTCGCCAATTTCGTCCCCCGATACCAAAACAGAGGGGAGAACTAGGAAACAACCAACGATTCCGGGGGGTAACGCGCTAACTCTGTTAGAAAGAGAATGACTCTTACCCCAGACAGGAGGAGAAATAAGTGATTTTGATGGGATCGGCGGAATCGTCCCTGATCTTCACCGACGATCTTATTTTCTGTAAAGAAATCGTTCAGGTGTGAAAGAAACCAACTGCTATTGTTTGCGAAATATGGAGCGCGCACTCACGTCGTATTGATCGCGAATGAGTTGGACCACGTTGGAGGAGTCGTCCTCCAGAACTCCCACGGTGGCCGATTCTAACTCCCGCGCCAAGTCTTCGTAGACGTGATTCTGATCTCTGGTGACGGCGAAGATGACGTTGATCTTGTTGTCCCGCAGAAGATTCCTGATCTGGCTGACCGAAGGGTAGTCCTGAGTCAGACTTTCGGTGTAATTGCCCCGATCATCCAGGTGACAGTTTCCGTCGTTGGGTTTGACGATTCCAGCCAGCTGCAACAGATCGGAAACCGGATTGCAGTCTGTTAAACTCGGCGCAATTTCCGTAAATTTTCCAACTGAAATTACACTTTACAGACAATAACAGCTAGTAACAGATTACCTTTCCGTCTCCCGCGAAGTGGTATCCGGCGTCGGTAGAAAACACCAGTAGTTTGGTGGAATTTTCCCCCCATTTGATCTTGTCCTGCGGGTGAAATAAAAAGGAAAATTGAGGCAAAAGGGGTTAAGAAATTGAAAGTGTACACTCACCTTGCAAGAGACCGCTTGCACCAGAGCGTCCAAACCTCCTTCGGGGGCGTCGTAGTTACCCGAAATCTGAGAATTTTGCACTTCCGTTTTAAACCTGCCCGTGTTCCGACTCAGGGGCAAGTAATTTCGGAATCCGTAGGGAAAGGCGTAGTCTATTTTCCTACAAAAAGGTTTTTATATTGTTATATAAGTTCGTATATAAGTAAAGTATACAAGGTCTGTTCAAAAAGTATCGGACCTTTTTTTTTCCGCGTAAACCAATGATGCGCGACAGGCCTCCTTCGGTGGAGTTGTGGAGGGGACAGTCATGCACAATCCTGAATTTTTTCCCGCCTGCAGGAAGCGTCAGTCGTTGGCAATCGGCCTATGAGTGAGGTCATGTAGTGCGCTCTCGTCGGATTTCACTAAGCTGGAAAATGACTGAACAACGTGAGCAGCAATATTACATCAAATTTTGCCAAAAACCTTGGCGATACCCGAGCGTAAACCATTCGCAAGATTCAGCAGGCTTTCGGGGACGATCCTCGAGGCCAAAAAA